ATGAATATGAATTTATTTTACCTCCGGTCCACCAATGCTGATGCGTACATCATTTTTACGAAACGGTTTTAAGTGAACATAGCTTTGTCCTTTCTTAGCCATCTTATGTCCGCCGTTGAGACAGTGTAAGATTTTGCACTTTAACACACACCATCCACCCTGCACACAGAGTCTAGTTATAAACGAAGCCCTCTTTTAAGGCGTGAAGTCGAACGAATGCAAAGGGAACACAGTACTACACACCATGCTTAAACATGAATTCTCCAGTTTAATACCACAAACGAATCATTTAGTTTATACAGACTAGTCTAGTCAATTTGGAATGTTAAGAAAAAGAAATTCGCAATATCACATCATAATACATCGTTTATATGTCACCAAATGTTTCTACCTCGAAATGAAAGAAAATTATTCAAGAAAGCAAAAAAGGTAAAGCAAGTAGGCCCCCGAGCCCCCCCCCCCCCCTTGGCTACGGGCCTTTCATGTGCACGCATTTATAGATCTTGTAAATTGCTTATCTGTTTCTCAAATAAATTTTCAAAGTCATAGGGTTACAATAACTAAACCCTGTATCATCATATAATATCAAGAGTAGCACTTTCGCATATTTCACATGAACACCCGCATAATTAATAGGATAGTTTCTAAATAGCAGAAAAATCAATGAAATCTAGTGCTGCCATCTTTCATTCAGCTTTTAACTTGGGCTAGAGTTCCCTTCACTTACATGCTAAAATCTTGGAAAAGTGGCTTAATTTCATGATTTATCAAAGTGTGTTGGTTGAATCTGTATAAAACTTGAATGATATACCACATGATGACCCTGTTTATGTACATGTTGTGATTAAACATACAAATGTTGATTGACATACAAATAATCCACGGTTTTAAAGAATTTTAGCATTGCATCTATGGACATTTGGCCCAAGTTTTTTTAAATTGTTATAGAAAATTATTCAAATTACATAACTGTGTAAATCAAAGCTATTATAGGAGAAAACATTTCACTGGATTCAAATATGCCATTTAAAAGAAGGTAATGTAAGTCATTGAAGGTCTAATATGCAAGTCTCTTAAAATCTCACGAAAAACGAGATTAAGCGAGATTTCAAAAGCTATATGGAAACTATACTATTGGTTTTAAGAAGACACTGCAGGATGTCGACGGCAATAACGCGCCATTCTAAATAAGAAATATTTTGTTATACTATACACGTATTATTGTACATGTGCACGCATTTATGGATCTTGTGAATTGCTTATCTGTTTCTCAAATGGATTTCCGAAGTAACAGGATTACAATCACTAAAATCTTATAATTTCACATGTAGTTCGAATTCATCCGTACATGTAATTAGTCTTAAGGAGACGGGGCAGCATTGACTCGCCATTCTTAATCGTTAATATTTTGTTAGTTACAGAGTTATAGACGTTTGTCCATGTGCATTCATTTATAGATCTTATAAATTATCTATCTGTTTCTCAAATAATTTCGATGAAAATATGATTAAAAACATTTTTGATATTGGAGTATTTTCTTCGAGTTTAGAGTATGATGGACAATTGACCAATCAGAACGCAGTGTGTTCCAATATGTTTTTTGGTATAAACAAGGGTCAATAAAAATATGAATTGAGCTATTTTAATCAACAAGATTTAATGGCTCTGAGAGGAGCCTTTTGGTGTCTACTTTCTCTCTCTATATTGTCATCAACTTGGTGCTCCATATACACTCCCCGCCAAAAGTTTAGCAATCCTAACTATAACATTGCATAACGTGTAACGTTTCTTTAATGGGTGTGTGTGCTGCAATGATAGTATTAACATTGGCTGGCCTGAGAATCAAGTAGGACATTTGGGCCACATTTCTGTTCGGCCAAAATGCCAAGAACGCCGTAAACGATCGATAGACTGTACTGTATTATAGTATAAAACACAATTAATCGCCAAAATACACTCCTCTCCACAAGTCTTTAAAATTTCATTAGTTCGCATATCAAAGCCTGTCATTTCTTGACTCTTATTTTTATTTCTGTCCCTCAGCAAGCACCTTGGTACATATAAAAGCCTGTCATTTCTTGACTCTTATTTTTGTTTCTCAATTTCAACATTTATGTTCCAGCGAATTATTTAATTGCTAAACTTATATTAAATAAACAGGCTCCATAAGATGCATGATTTCCGGTTGCCCAATACCTATGGAGAGGAGTCTATATCGTTTGTATATAATAAACACATTACACGTCTAAATAAAAAATGAAAGTCAAAGTGCCCGTATAGGTCACATAGCTATCAGTAACTATATTGTCAAAAAGTGCTTGTGGTTTTAAACATATGTGTTATCATTGTCACATGGAGTGTATATTATCTCACAATTATTGATTCTATAACAATGCAGCACTTGGTTATATTAACATCAACAACAATATGAATATAGAATATTTATTATATTGACATCAACAACAACATGTATCTGCTTACTAAAACCCCCTATTTATTTTTAGTAATTACATTACCCCCTGGTCTCTTTCTGTTTTGGTAATAATTATCTCAAAGTGAATTCTTTTTTTCGGAGTTTGAGTTTTGAAAAATGTGTCTTCATAATGCGGTAAATGTAGCAAGAGCATTGGAACGGTATCATATTGTGGCACATTTACAGGGTATGGATCTGAGGAGGAACTGAGGGGTTGAGAAATTAAAAATAATAGAATGGAACGCCGTCTGAGTTCACGTAACCCTACTATCACACCAAACTAGTTCTCACTACGTTCTCGAAAACGGGCTTCAACTGTGTACAAACGGACTGGACGTACTAAGAACCGTTTGGGATCTATTTACAAACTTCATCGAACGTACTCGAACGGGTAGGTCCTCTAGAACTTAGACAATGCTCAAAATGTTCTCGTGGTCGTCACGTTCTACAATTAGAACGAGTGACAACGTACTAACGACGAGCGGGACGTACTACGAACGGAACTGTCGTACTTCAATCCTACTAGGGACGTTTTAACAACGAGTTGAACTGTCTGAGGACGTGTTGAGAACGAGGTAGAACTCATTGCAAACGGGTTTAAACTGATTAAGAACGTATTTAACACTGCTTATGAACAAGTCAGCAAAAATATAACTATCACGCCAAACAAGTTGCCACTGCGTTCCTCAAAACTGGTTTTAAACTGTGTGCGAACGGAATAAACGTACCTGCAACTTTCTAAGGTCTATTTACGAACTTCATGAACGTTCTCAGACGGGAATGTGATTTTAGAATTTTGAATAGATTCAAAATTCGATTGCGACCATACCTTCTAGACTAAGGGACGCGTTCTACGGCGTTGCACACCGACGTGGTGCGACCTGAACGAACTGCGAACGAGATGGACGTATTGAAGACTGTTTAAGAACGAAGAAGCTAATTATTTCAGACATATTTTCCGACCACAGCCAGATTGAGCCCGTTTTACGACGTTTTCATAGGACTGGCAAGAACGGGTAAGAACGAGTTTGGTGTGATAGGGGGGTTACATAATAATTATTTCTTCCCTTTGCAATTTTTGTTATCTACTTATGCCTGTAGATATATTTTGGTATAACCCCCTATCACACAAATAAGTTTTCAGTCGTTCTTTCAAGTATAACACAAATGTTGTAAACGGGTTCAATCTTTGTGTTGTCGGGAAGTATATCTAAAATAATTAGCTACTTCATTCATAAACATCTTCCGATTTCTAGCGTCTAGTAAATCATCTCGTTTTAGGTAACTTGTCACACAGTCGAATCAAAAACGGTATGGTTGCAATCAAATTTTGAAATGGTCCAACATTTTAGATCACCTAGACACGTCCATGAAGTTCGTAAAAAGAACGTAGAAAGTTGCAATCACGTTCATTCCGTTCAAACACAGTTTCAAACAATTCAGGACCTTTTTAGAACGCAATGCATCTAGTTGGTCTGATAGCGATATTTTTGCTAACTCGTACCTAGACATGATCAAGCTGGGTATTGATCATAAACCATGCAAAAATGTAGGTAAAATAATTCCAAACAAGTCGAACCAATATTAAAATCTAATATTTGCCAGTTTGCGATACAAGGATCGACCACATTTCAAAATGCAGGGTGTGCATCAACATAAGGTATTTGTATCGGTATGTGAGTGGTTGGTGGTCTGTGGTAAGTAGTTTACAATCTGTCGAGAGAAATGCTGACATTTGTATGTGGACACGGGAACGGTCACCCTCAAGCCAGAAAAAGAGAGTAATTCCCATAATTATTATTGGTTTTGGCTTGATATTCATGAACATAATTTACTAAAATTACGCCCATCAGTATATGATGTCCAATCATATTGAAAGATTTGATCATGTGAACTATCATGAGGACGTTGTCTCAGAGCCGCGCATGCGCAAAGCAAATTTGAATTTGTGGAAATAACCAGGAAATGGTTTTGTTTCAGCTCAAAATCATCCTTTTTTAACTTACTACGGTAATACTATTTAAGTTACCCCATCCGAACTTGTTGAGAATAATCATAAAACAACAGCGAACATTCTGAGATCAATTTCAATGGCAAATGAGGCCTTTTCATATTGAGGTATACAGAATGGGAACTTTTTGTGGACGGTGCTGGGCGGAATGAGGAGTGACGAGAAGTTAAACCATTGTTCATCTGTTGTCTTATTGGCAAAGTAATACTTTTGTTTTTTGAAAAAAATGTATTCAACATAATGTCGACGCTTGTAAAGGGTTGGCAATAATATCCAATAGTATTACAGATTTTTAAACTTCTTCAAAAGACATGTGTAAATTGTCTTCAAGATAGGTATAACAAAACACGAAATGAAATGTAGGAAAGTCTTAACTATTTAAGAATTGAATGACAGTTTACTGATAGTTCATCGCATAGATAAGGTACGAATCGAATAAACATATACCATTACCTCAAGTATAATACGACATAATTTGACCGAAAAATAAAAATGACGCTTTCCGAATTACTGAGTGGGAACAAAAAATATTTAACAATAGGTATTTTAATTGGAATTGGTGTTATCATTGGAGCCTCAATAGGAACAGGGGTATATATCGCCGTCCTTGGTCGACTGAAAAACATCGGAGTGACGGAAAACCCCCTGCCTGAAAACACTGCTGAAGTTCCAGATGATGGTACAACTGAAAACCCCGCGGGTATAACCTCTGAAATTCCTAAGGAAATAACTTCTGGTTTGACTTCTGGTTTGACTTCTGAAATGACCCCTGGTATGACTTCTGAAAAACCTGGAGATATCACTTCTACAACGCCTGGGGTTATAACCTCTAAAATACCTGGTTATAGAACCTCTGAAACACCAGAGAAAACTACTGAAAGCCCTGGTAAGTAGCATTATAAAATTTTCAACCGGCGGGAAAAATACGCAGTTATAATTTTGCCCGAGATGTGTTCCCTATCAGTCTTTATATGTGTTACACTTTCGATTGCTCGTTTCAAAAAATTGGGAAAACACTTATTAATCGCTTGATCCAGTGTTATACTTTTGTCCGTCTTATTCATTTGTGTTCCGGATTCTTTTTATTTTTAAGTGTTATACTTTTTGTCCGTCGGATTCATTTGTGTTACGGATGCTATTTAAAACAATGTGTAGGTAAAATGTGATTTCCACTTCTAGTTTTAATTTAATTAGTCTTCTTCAGAAAATCATACGACAAAAAAGTGTAATGTGTATAACTATTTATATAGATATATTTCAAAAATAAATCTACTTTTTTCAGATGGAGAATATATAATGGCCTGTTACTATACCAACTGGGCACAATATCGACCGGAAGGGTACAAGTACGTATCACTATTATTCATATGTGATCAATAATCGATATGTTAGTATAATTATCCGGCCGGCTGATTTAGATTTCATATTATTATCTTATTCGAAAAAATTGTCAAATTAAATGATAACGCAAAAACTTATTTAAAACTCGAGAAAATTAATTGACATTGCCAAACAGTCTAAACATTTCATTTGAGAAAGAGTTCTAAGTAAAAATGACGTCATTCAATCAACTTACATATGTATTTATGTTTGTTATCAGATTGCGTTATTGCAAACACTCTCCGTTTCAACTTAAGAATGTTATCTTAGTTTAATTCAAATGTCACAACCACCCCAGAGGTACATACTGTAGCTATATAGAGGCCAGGCTTACGCATTTTCTTAACACTGAAAAAGATTTGCGATGGGAAACTTTCAAAGTATCAATTCATCCTAATGACTAGGCTTGATTTTCATGAATTATGAAAAACACTTGGTCTGTTTTTGTCATTTCCTCGAGGACATGTATTTGATAAAGATCGATGTTTTTGTAATTTGAGAAAATTTCGTTTTGATCGAAATTTTATACCACTCTATCTTATCAAGAAACAAACGACGTCCATTTGGAATAGGTTATAACTTTATGATTAAAAAAGCTGATTAAACTAGACTTATCAAATTTGGCACGATGTAAATGAAACATCCAAGAATGATTTTCTTGAAGAAATCATGCATTTGTCGTGCATGTCTCATTTTCAATTATTTCGCATCACAACAAGCAATATAAAGTAAACTGCGGATCGAACGCTGGGCAGAGGATTTCTTTTTACTTTTACATATTCGATTCTTTTCTATATAATATCTAGTTATATATTCTTTATGATAACGACCATTTTACTGTTTGTAAGTTGATTTAAGTAACTAACGACAATTAGTTTGATATTTTCTTTTTACCTTATTAGGTTCTTTCCCGAAGACATCGATCCTTTCCTGTGCACGCATCTCATTTACGCCTTCGCCAACATGACTGGAAACCGATTATCAACATTTGAGTGGAATGATATCCAAATGTAAGTTGGAAACCCATGTGTCCTTCAGTTTTACACGATCAAACAATCTTGCTTACAAATGTATCCCGTGTCAGAAAGATTTTCTTAAAATGGCAGACCAATGTAAAAGGGTGGGAGGTCCTATCAAATTATGGTCCTACTCTCCATTAATTTATATGGTGACCTCTTTCCCTTATTATCTTATACTCAATCAGGTCCATTGAGGGCCGTTAAGAGGGGGGACCATAATCCCCGAGAGATAATTTCTTTCACACCGGGCCATATTCTCTTATACCGAAGGGGTTTGCATACATCTACATGCGGCCCTATATACCTTTGTAGGTACAAGCGTTTCAATAGTCTGAAAGACATCAATCCAAAACTCAAAACTCTCTTGGCAGTTGGTGGTTGGAATTTTGGGACGAAGCGCTTTTCTGATATGGTTGCGACCCAGAAAAACATACGCGAATTTGTCTCGAATTCTATAGGTAAGTTGACAACATGTCTCTGTCACATTTGATGTACGACATCTGTACAGCGGTCGCACGGGGGTAAAGCAGACCCGATGATGCAATGAGCTTGTTCGGCGGTATCATGACTGTGTAACGGGTCTTAATGTATAAGTGTGCTCGGCGGTAGGTTCAAACAACGCGGATCCTCAAAGCATGTGCTCATGGTATATTCGTGTTTTAACACCCGTGGGTCGTAGCTTCTCAAAATCGATAGAAATATGCAGCATGAAATAGAGGAATAAGCTATACAATGTAGATTTTCTATATCGATTTTGTGAAGAACGAACGCCGTAGAGCAAATGTGACTGAGGCATTTATGCTTCATCTATATTTGACATAGCAAACAGTTCTAATTCATTTACGATTTCAGCAACATTTTGATGAATATTTCTGTTCGTTAATGTGACATATTTCCAACTGATCGAGTTAGCGAAGTTGGCTCCGAATATTATTTCGCATTTAAGTTTTATGAATTCAGTATGTCTATGAATTTCAATAGAGCAAAATTAGATGTAGATTTTACAGATAGGGAGTTACTTGAGAGTACTTGGTCTAATGTCACTCAAAAGGCAAGTATTTAAATTCGTAGGCATCATTTGGAATTATTTATGTACAGAGTTCCTTAGAAAGCATGGCTTTGACGGTTTGGATCTTGACTGGGAATACCCTGCACAACGCGGCAGTCCACCTGTAGATAAGCTGCGATTTACTACTCTTTGTCAGGTAAGGTTATTATTCTTTTTTTTGTTTTACTTTGAGTTTGATATTTTTCTTCCCTTCTATGGTTTGTCCAATAGGCTATACATATATTCTCTTTTCTCACTCCTCTTCAACTTTCTCTTTTGTGCTACCACCTGTCACTATTCGTTTCTTCCCCCTCTTTGAGTTAGTAATGTTTTTATTCCTCACTCTCTCTCTCACCAACTTTCCCTGCTACCATTTGTCATCAATTTCTCCTCCTTTCCCATGTTCATCAGTCATTGGTCTGCCCTCTTCATCCCTCCCCTTCTCGACATTTCTTAATACTGTTCATTTTCAAATTAAGCGTGACAGGTGAACGGGCAGGGTAGGTATAGCAAGAGGATGATGACATTTCTCATGCTAGTCCAAACCCGTTGTTTATTTATCCTCTTCATATTCCTTCTCATTGATTTCTATTTATGCTATTTATCATGAATTGAAGGTTTCTTTATTGTCAATTTTTTTAACGTTCTAGTTACCCTTCCATATGCGTTTACTATTTGCCTATTCTCTGTATGTCTCCCTTTTCCACTCATTTATTTGTTTATTACATTAGTTTGAATCAATCTTCACCATGCCTTTATGTGCTGTGTCAACTTATATTTCTTTAGTTCACACTATTTCATTAATCTTATCTAAGAATTCCTTGTCATCGATTCCTTTGTCATGCTTTTCTGCATTATATTTTCTCTAGAAACTAAGAGAAGGTTTTGAGACAGAGGCTACAAGAACAGGACGTCCACGCCTTATAATAAGCGCGGCTGTTGGCGCAGGGAAAGTTGCGGCAGATACATCTTACGAAATGGATAGAATATCAGAGTAAGTAAAGCGATGCAATTTCTGGAGATGATCGATTATTCACGAACACGAGTGATTCAAAAATAATCGAAGGTTTCATACTATTGGAGTAAAAAACAACAATCTTGAAGATCAATAAAGAAAATACAGCGGGTTGAGTTATATATATTCAAGCATGAAATGATAAAGTTATAATATACAATTTATATATCTACTATTGTTTAAATTCATGTTTTTTTGTCCGAATGCAATCGTTTTACCCAGAGGACGTCCGCGCCAAGTTCCAAAAAATGACAACTTTACTGTCACTAAGAAGGTGCCAATTTGTCAATATTTGTAATGTAGCGGTAATAAAACAGTTCTTTATTTTTATTTTTCAAATTATCTGTATGTTTTTTACCTTCATGTAAATAGGTATTTGGACGCCATATTCTTGATGACGTATGACATGCAACCAAATGGCTACATTTACACGGGACACCACAGTCCGTTGTATGCAAACCCTCTTATAGGGGACGCTTCTAGAGACAACAACGTCGTAAGGAAAAATTCGTGAACACACATTGGAATCTTTCTAAAATATAGAATTTGAATTCCTAGATTTGAATTCCTTCAATTGGCGTAACAAACAACACAATTAACTTGCTAACCACCGAACATGTAAATATGAACATGTACCTACTACATATTATTAACATATATTTTAACGTTGTAGAATTTTTCTTTGAGCTACTGGGTTGCTAATGGCGCCGATCCACAGAAGTTAATTGTAGGAATGCCCACATATGGTCGGACGATGGAGCTGTCATTTACAGAAGACCATGCGGTGGGTGCATGTTCCAATGGTCGTGGGGAATCGGGCCCGGGGACAGGAGAAGATGGCTACATTTCATATAATGAGGTACACGAATGTCATTTTGTATGTTACCTGAATAAGATTGAATTCGCTGCTTCTGAATGCAATAGAATGGTCTTGTTAATAGGAGTAGATTCGCGATCGCATTCTCTCTCCCCTCTCGTTCTGCCCGTTTAGTGTCTGCTGGCGTAGTTCTGATTATTTAATGACTGCAAGTTCTGCAATAACACATTTAGAATTCTTCATTTGCTATTTTAATGCTAAAGGCAATGAAACACATTTTGAAAACGTATACACAAGGATGGTGAATATACTTTATTGTTTTGTCATTTCTAGGTTTGTGCCCTAATAGAAGAAGGAGCTATTGAATACTGGGACCCATTCCAGAGGGCGCCATTTTCAATACATGTCCCCTCTCGTAGGTGGATGGGGTACGATAACCCAAGGAGTCTACGATTAAAGGTAACCGATTTAGCCTTCATGGTTTTGTTCATATCCGACACACCAACAGGCTACGGTTGCTTGAATACTATTTAAAAAATGGCAGTGAAATTTGTCTGTTAAAACAAGAAGGACTTAGACCAATTAACTTGCGTATGCAATCAAGAGTAGTGAGACATCTATGAATAAGGATATATGGCACAATCTAATGTCATGTGTCATCTGTATTATATAGTCTGCACCTTATTTATCTATTTATTTATTTATTTTATTTATTTATTTATTTATTTCTATTTAGACATATGCTTTTGAAACAGCAGCACTCTAGAATTTATAATGTTAGGTGCGTCTACATACAATATCAAGCATTTAAATAGTAATTTCTAAAATCATACAGTTCTTGGTTTAAAAACTTTAGCTAAAAACTGCTTGATGATTTTGTCAAGACTCAAATTGATGTCGTGCCCCCATTTCACATAATCGCCCTATGAATATCGCATGAGATGATGGCAAATCATCCCTTATACGTGTATTTACCTTATATAAATGTTACAACCAGCCGTTTGTTACAGGTTGAGTGGTTAAAACGAAGTGGATTAGGTGGAGCAATGGTGTGGGCGCTTGCGCTTGATGATTTCTCGGATAATTGTGGACTATATACCGGACGTTTCCCTCTTATCAACGCAATTAAAGACGCCCTCTTCGGTGATAGTTTGGCACGGGGTTTCATGTTTAAGAACTGATAGTGCAGAATGGGTTAAAGCAATTAATCGATTAAAACGTACATGTATCGACATCGTATATTTAAGTCTACTGAAACTGTATTTAATTTGTCTGCAATAGGGATGTTAAGATTGGCGTAAATTAGTACTAACCTATACCTATACGTACATACGTGTGTTGCCTAAAATATAAAAGAATGAATCGAGGTGGAATGTTCCTATAAAGATAATCATTTGAACCCACCGAGCCTAACCATAAGGACGATGTTTTTATATACGCCCACTTCAACTGAGTAATTGTTATTCAAATTATTCAAAGTCGATATTCCATTGTTAGCCTTGCCCAAGTCGGTATTTTTTTACTTATCTGATCTTGAATTATTACCGCCTTGTACAATCCAATACATCTCCGCTGCTATTATGCTGAGATATTCAACGGTTTCGAGATTTCCATAATACCTACGCTATCAGGGGTATCGCGAAACCTTATTGATTAACAGATATACGCGTGGACACGACGTGTGACTTCAGGCTGATTGACCAATCAAAACGTTATCAGGTTGAGCTGCACAGCAAAGCAATCTTCCCGTCTACGACTTGAAATTCAATGATCTGATCGATCGTTTCTTTAGAGTTACAATATATTATGTAATTAAATGTACATAGGGAATGTAAGAGTCATTAATATAAATTAAATCATGCAGTAGATTTAAAACTGATCTCGCGATGAAAATGCAAGACCTAGTCCAATGTAGCGGGTCATGTAGTCGTCGATCAGTGATTGAATCTCAGCCTACATGTTCATTTGAATTCAGCGATCGTTTCAACGTTTATTGTTGAAATCTTCTAACATCCGGTTAATGATCGATGTCTAGCATCCACTTAACTCTGATTGATATTTATCTGATAAAATATTTGTATTTTCATGATAAATTCATGCAAGATTTGTTCGTGAAAAGTCCCGACGAAAACAAAGTGTACTTGTTTTTGACCGTGCATAATAATGAGCTAACGCTGCAGGGCCGTCGTTGATTGGTCAAATTTTACCGACATAAACATTGAGTCGGTAAAGCACGTGGCTTTCTCTTTTGTACAAGGCGGTCATAATAGAAATCAGGTAGTAAAAGAGACGGACTTGGGCAAGGCTATTCCATTGTCTGACATGGAACGTTTAAGTAATAATATTTATATATTTCTTGGACCACGTATATTGTTCAAAAATTAACATTTCACGACATGGTATTATTCCAACTTCCATGGCAGTGTTAGTCTCCAACATATGGGTAATATTCTTATCAATTTTCTGGTCCATGTTGGGCAACTGAAGATCGAGTTCAAAACGATCGTGGAAATCCGATGGAACGCAATCGGAGAAGGCAGAGCGAAACTCCGGTTCTCCTGTGAGCCAGGGTTTAGAAATAGGGTGGGTTAAGGTAAGGATTGAATCGTCAACCATATCCGTTTGCATACAAATCATTAACATAATTGAAGTGTTTGTTTTTTATGCTTGAACTGGACTTTGACCGTTCACCAGTAAGGTTGTAGCTGCTGAACTGTAAAGTGACGTCATGAATGGAGTAACCCGCTTTCTTCTTGCTCTGAAAATCTTCAAAAATTTTTGGATTTTTATCAAATAAACAGTTGTGTGCGTACACTTTATTAGGATATATAACAATCGGAATATACATGGTACATAATAGGATTATTTAGGACACTCATTAGTCGCCAGGTGAGGCAAACTTGTCATCTAAATATTCCGCAAGCATTTTACAAACAATACGCCATCTTGAAATACGATTTTGTTCAACCCAACCAAATCTGAGAGGTCATCGTGACATTATACACCTATATAGGTGTATCGTCTTGGTACATTACAAAGAGTATAGTGACATATTTCTGCTGTATTGATATAATAATTTAGTTGCAATTATATATGTGCACACTATTTATAAAGTGCAACCATTCGTTGTGTACTGATGCATAGCGGAATGACCTTCACTTAGCCAGTAAATGACCTCAGTAATCTGCTGTTCTAATCAAACAATGCCGCCCCCTGAACCTCCACCACCTATTGACCCAAGCATCAAGGTATCAGACATCGATGATGATTGCAGCAATGAAAGTTCATTATACGAAACTGACGCCGATGGACCTATTGCTACCCAAACTAACGACGATATCATCGCTCAAATCAACGACGCTTGCAATGGATTAACCAAGAAAGACTTTATCTCGAAAATACTTTCAATTCTAGACACCGATGACATCATTTCAACGCGTGATGCTCTGCATGATTATGCAAGACTAAATAAACCCAATGAAATCCCACAAGGATCGCTCATTAGGAGATCTAATCGAAACAAAAACAAACGCCTCGCAGAAGACATTTACACACTTCATATGTTTATTGAAAACGCAGGAAATTTTTCCGACGTAAAAAAATTGCTGAAACCAGTCAAATCAACACCATATAGTAAAACCAGAAATCGCATACAGTTTGAGGAACGTAATAACGACCAATCACAGTCAAATCCACAAAACGATATAATACTGGCCTATCTCCTGGAACTAAAAGTCAACCTTGCCAGCGAAACAAATGAAATAAAAAAAGATTTAACGAAAGCTATATCAACTAGAGACACGTCCCTCAAAAAGGATTTGGATACAAAAACAAATGAACTCAACAGAGTTAAAGACGAATGTCAAAAAGTAAGAAGCGAGCTGAAAATCGCAAACCAACTTATAAACGATCAACAAAATGAAATGAAGACACTTAAAGAAAGCATCAAAGATCTTAAATCAACTGTAATTAGGAATATACAACATATACATACCAAACTCGACAAGATGAGTAACATCAACAAACAACAGAACGAGCTGGCACGTTGCAACAACGAAGCATCTGCCGCCTCTCCTATGCTCACATCAGTTTGGGCTTCACCAAGTTGCGTTTCCACCACTCATGCTCTCAACAATCGCAAACTACCTCAATCTCCTGCGTTCAACCCGATCGCATGTGTGCAACCAACGCTTCTGCTTCTCCAGGCGGAAAAAATAGTATGTCATCTAGCACTTCTACAACGCAAGACATAGTAAAACGTACACCACCACATGTTAATGCCGACTCTTCAAATGTTGAGATGATTTTGGAGCCCAATATGACAACACAGGTTACAGAGAAACCAACACCACCCAGTACTTCGACAGCTAATAGTGCTACTACTGATTCCAGCTCCCTGCAGAAATCACAAATATCTTCTGCGACTTCATTAACCACAACATCATCAACTGCTACAACAAGCTTATGTTCTTCTCCTTCAACTTGGCCAATGGCCCAAGTGGCTGAACGTAACAAATTATACACAAATCGAATTGCCACCAGAATAACACGTGGGCTGAATAAAACTGCTACTAATGACTCTCCCAAATTACAAAATCATGCGATTCAACATCATAACGACCAGCCACTGAGTCGTGATGACGACGAGGATCATGATTTTGTAGGCGTTGAAGCCAAGCATCAGCGTACCAGACGGTTGCTTCTATCACGTGTCAAATCTATCCCATACACTAAATTAAGAAATTCAATTGTTCGCTATGCTTCAAAACATGACGTTAAAGTCACACACATGAGAGTCATTACGTGCAGAGAAACTAACAAAGGAGAAATCCTTTCCGCTCGTATCAACGTTTGTGCCAGTGATTATAACAGGGCCTTGAGTAAGGGTTTCTGGCCCGAGAATATAGTATGTAAACCTTGGGTGTCACAGAAACTTTGGGACGCCAATAAAGATGCAGCAAAAAATCATTTTTCTGATACAAATGAACTTCTCTGTTTACGGCTCCTGCGACAGAGGTTTGCTCGACAGTGAAAATTGTGGCAACCGTGGCTATGGCGGCGTTGCACTCATGTACACAAAATCCTTAAATGTCAAGCAGGAAATACATGTTAATGATCGAATATGCGGCATAGAGATTATTCACTCTGATAACTTTAGTATATTTATCTTTGTCGTGTATATGCCCGCTATTAATCATAACATTAGTACATTCAAGGAAACATTGGACAAACTATATGAAATATATGCCACATATTCAGTTCACGGCATGGTTATAATTGCAGGTGACTTTAATAGCCACCTCAGTGCTAATAGTGGGCCTCGTTGTTCAACTCCCAATACTAGAGGACTTTTAGTGGAACAATGGATAAATTACCATAACTTAATCTCCGTGAATTCTCAAGCCGCCACCCACGGTCCATGGTTATTACAGCCATGACGGCAAGCATAAATCAAATCTCGACCACATATTCATTCCAAAAGTAAAATATGATCTCGTCAAATCTTGTAAGGTACTTGATGACCATATTAATAACATATCTGATCATCATCCTGTATCTATGCATATAAATGTATCAGTTCCTTACTGTCCTATTACTCACATATCTAATCGTACCGTAACAAGATGGCGGAAAGCCGAAAGCGCGCAAATCTCCGCTTATTCTGATATGGTTGAACATGACTTACAAGCGCATAATATGGACCCTCTTTTCAATATCAACCAAAATTAATGATACAGTCAAATTCCTTTTTAAGACCTTAATCAATAGTAGCAACAAACACATACCAAAATCACAATTTAAAAAATTTCTGAAACCATATTGGAAAAGCGGTGATTTAAAGCCCTTACATAAATCAATGAGGCTAGCCAGAGCTGAATGGATTCACAACGGCAAGCCCCGTGGCCTTGAACATTCTTGTTATCTTAATTATAAGCTGCAAAAACGTAAGTTTACAAGACATTTAAAGAAAATGAAGTTCGAATACGAACAAAATCAATTACATCAATTAGAAGACGCGTCTGAAGTAGACAGCGCGCTATTCTACAGATTAATAAATAATAAGAATAATCGAGGTTCCACAAACAGAGGGCATGAGCTTCGGGTCAAGGGAAAAATGATTCGTGACCCAGATGCTATTCTTAAGGTGTGGGCTGATCATTTTGAATCACTGGGTCAAGAATCACAGTTCCCACACTTTGATGATCAACATAAATTAAATGTCGAGGAACAAGTTGTTAACATGCATCAACAATCGTATCATATGTTTGATGGGATTTTCGAAGAACCTATCACCCCAAATGAAATATCTTGTTGCATTAAAACATTCAAGAATGATAAGGCTCCTGGGCATGACATGATTGTCATCGAACACATAAAACATGGTAACGATATAGTTGTTGCATGGCTCTGTCAAATATTCAATGCCATGATAAAAGTTAGCAGGATACCCTCTGAGTTTAAGCTGGGAATTATCATTTCATTGTTTAAAGGCAAAGGAAAAGACCCTAGTGATAGAGACAATTTTCGAGGGCTTACTCTTACCAGTTACCTATACAAGATTTGGGAACGCATCCTGACAACAAGAACAATACCCAAACTCAAACTAAGGGGGTGTCCAAATCCAGTTTGCCCTATTCGCTCTAAAAGAGCTGATATTGCATTTTTGCGAAAGGGGCAGTCTGGTCTACGCAGCGTTCTTGGACAATCGTAAAGCTTACGACCTCCTGTGGAGAAGGGGTCTTTTTTATAAACTTTTTCTACTTGGTATTAATGGGACTACATGGCGCCTAATTGTCGATAGCTATACCGATAATGTAGGTAAAGTTTTATATAACGGAACACTGTCAAGAGAGTTCCCCTTGTCTCAGGGCGTATCTCAAGAAAATGTGTCCAGTTCGCTTTGGTTCCTTGTAAACATCGATTCTTTAATCACCGACTTACAAAATGCAAATAGAGGACTACAATTTGGCGATAGAAATATCCCATGTATCCTCGTGGCTGATGATACAACCCTTATTGCCAGCACCCCTTATAACTTACAATGTATGCTTAACATAGTACACTCTTATAGCGCAAAATGGCGTATGGTGTACCATGCTGATGCTGGTTCAAAGAGTAGTATTGTCACATTTAATGAAACACATCGTCAATTTTTAAAGAGTCGAGGTACACGTGAATGGACATTGGGAGAACAAAACGTGCCAGAAGCTCGCAGTGTCAATTATGTTGGCAATACACTCTTTCCAGAGCTAAATAAAAGCTCAAATCAAGCATTAGCAGCCAAAAAGAAGCTCAACAATAGATTTTACTCTCTAAAGAGAACTCTTGGAATGCATCAAAATGGCGCTAACCCCTTACTTTTTCTCAAAATATGGCAAACTATTATTATGCCATCTGCCTTATTTGGCTGCGAGTTGTGGTATGGCTTGTCTTCAAACGACCGGAAACTCTTAAATATTGCACAGCGTAAAATCTTTAGAGTCGTGCAAGGTTTTGAAAATCGTGTTTCATCAGACGTAGTTTTATCCACCCTAGGTGCAATATCTATTGCTGGATACATTGACCAATCAAAACTTAGCTTCTGGTCAAGACTGTGCTCATGCAAACATTCTCTAACTCATCATATTTTTATTATGAGAACAGCTTCATTTTGTCTCAATGAAAACACGAGTCTAGGTTTCATAAGTGATATCATGTCTCTGGACTACTCTTTCATAAGGGAACAATTCAAAAACTTTGTAAGTTCTGGGAATTTCCTTCCAAAAAATATTTTCAAAAAAGCAACTAAAATAGAAATTCGCCATTTCGAAGAAACGGCATGGCAGGCTCGCCTCGACACAAATGATGATCTTTTGCTCTTTAAAAACATACATTGCTCGCTTGAACCATGCTTTGCATGGACTATTGGCAAGAAATTCCCAAAATTTTTGTGGACTCTGGGGCACCTACTTCAGCTTGCTACCACACCCACATATAAGAATTTCAAATGTAAGCATTGTCATTGTGTATGTAATGGTAACAATATCGTCTCCCATTTTCTACACTGCCCCCAACTTGTAGCAGAAAGAAATGTGTTTTATGAAAACCTAATTGATATCTTACCCATCGAGGATGGAGTCAAACTCTTAGGACTCGACGAAAACATTCTACTGCAAACAATTTTAGGAAGCAGAATTGATTTCAGTATTAACCCTAGAAGCCCTAAGGGGGGGTCAAAATGACCCCCCCTGTTAAGTTTTTTCCCCATAACTTTTTATTGGCATCTGGTAGGGTCTTCAAATTTTCAGTAGCTGAAGCTACAGATATAAGACATGTTTTCTGAAAAAATCAGCAGAATTGTACATAGGGTTACTGATTTATTATGATGTAATCATCAGCTGCAATAGACAAAATCGGAAAAAGCTAGCACTATTTCTACCATACATGTTATCTTTCAAATAAGATTACACAATCTTCCATCATCATAGTTGTTAAAGTTATTACACCAAGTTGTAGATAATTGAATGAAGTATATTTTGGTAAAAATTTGAACATCCTAGCTTTACTAATTTGTTATTTATTTATTATGATGTAATCATCAGCTCCAACAGACAAAATCAGAAAAAAGCTAGCACTAATTCTACCATACGTGTTGTCTTAAGAATAAAATTACGCAATATCACATCATCGCAGTTGTTAAAACTTTTATACCAAGTTGTAGATAATTGAATGAAGTATATGTGGAAAAAGTTTGAACATCCTAGCTCTACTAATAAAATTTTTACAAGGGGGTGCCCTTTTGACCCCCCCTTAGGTGTTCGTGTGACTATTTTTACCTTAGGGCTTCTAGGGTTAATGATGACAACATATTTGACATGTTCACAATAGAATGTGCCAAATCACTATACAACATTAAGATGCATTTTAGATATTAGAGAGGTCAAGCAAATACGGTTTTTCAAAACGTATACGTAAACGCAAAGTACATTGAATCAACATAGGCTTGTATCGCTTTAGTCTACTTTAGATACCCGTTCAACTTCAAAGTTGCGTGTTTAGAACGGGAGATTTTAAATTTTCACGTTGCTATCAACGGGAATCATTATACTCATGTCTGTTGAATACTATCCTTGCAATTTTGATTTCGATGCAGAGTATAATTCTTTCTGAAGAAGATGATGTATGTTACGCATGATTTAACTCCAATAATCTTACGAAACGAGCTCGTTTAAAATATGTATTAGAAAACCAGCTATTGAACTTCATCAGTGGGATACTATGTAATCATTACAAGCTATGGTGTAGTCTAAACAAACACTAGAGCTGAACGGCTATTTATGTGTGAACTCTACATGTATTTGTATAGGGCCTATTGATACGTTTAAGTTGCGTTTTGGATTTTATACGGTAGCTTAACCTCTCCATTTAAAATAAAAAAAACGAATACGCAAAATGTACACATGTAAAATTATTTTTATGTACGATAAGTGTAAATGACTTTTTCAAAAACCCCGTTTTTTAAAAAAAATGTTTGATTAATTGATTACCATGTACTAACTGTATTACTGTGTTATATGCTCTTCTTAATACGAAGGAAATAAAGATACATAAACATAAACATAAACATACATTACAATGTTGAGTTTGGATTTAGATCAAGGTTATTAAAATTGGATATAAAAGATAACGTTTTATAAATAACAAGTGCTGCCCTTGAAATATTCAGATATATTGGGTGATCACAGATTATAAAGTGAGTTGAGTATTTAACGTAATAGTGGATGTTTTATCTATGTAGTATGTACATTAATGACCAGATATCTCGTATAGAGCGGGACTTGGTTAGTGGCTGAAAACAAGAAAGTAGCTCATAATATTTTCAAAACATGAGCTTATATTAGTATATTGCAACATAACATATGTCTATCTGAAATATACATTAGAGCACATTACTGGACTTTCACAGTTATGGAAGGGAGAGGATTGGTTGTAGCTGGTGCCATAGTTCTAGGGCTGTGTGTGTTGTTGTCAATTGGAGTTGGGGTGGGTGTACATCTCGGAAGACGAGAGGAGCAACAGGCTGTAGAGAAAACACGTGAGCTGGGTTACAATCATCTCATATTACGTTTGTTTATATGTTAAAGAAATATAGACCGAAGAACAGGTGTTATATCGGCGCATACATCCCGCAGGGCTAGGCACAACGTTTTCTGTACCCCGAACGACCAAGGGGCTCTGAGGTCTATATTATTATTCGAACATGAACTCACGAACATTTTTCGAATATTCTTTTAATCCAACTTATTACCAAGTCCCATCAATATGACGTCAGGCATTAATTGTATTACAAGAATTAGTGGTGACGAATATACCCCGGGTGAACTGTTGTGTCAGACTTTGTTCACAATTTATAGAAGGCGTGAATACAGTCATGATGGAATATTGGTTTATACAATTACTATTTTAGAATTCACATTGATTTGCATGTATTTTTATGTGTTTTTGATTTTGTTTAAAAATAATCTTAATACTGCTATTCTTGAACAATACAATGTAACGTATGGATTTAATTAAGTAACAATATTTGCACTCACACAGCCTTTTAGTATGCTTAATTGCTATTAACAAGTACTTTATTTTAGTCAAATTAGCCATTCTGATAGATAGAAACTTTAAGTCATTTGATACAATAAATATTATTCCATTCCAATTTTCCATATATTTTATCACAATAAATATGTGTTTCTAGATGGCGATTATAAGATGGTGTGTTACTACACGAATTGGGCACAGTATCGGCCCGGGATATACAAGTTAGTCATACATTACTCTACTTCACCTAACCCCTAGAAATGCATAAGATATTCTGTTTGTCTAATTGTGTTGTTTAGTATATTTTTGAAAGTACCTTATTAACATCTAACAGTCATCCAATAAATCATTCATAAGCAGCAGGCACATAAAACCAAATAACACAATCATTACTGATAAGCCAAATGGGTTACTCATGAACACCAAATGTAAGGTTATGTAGAGTGTACATATTCAATGTGGTTTATTTTTGTATGTATTTTCCTATCGTAATTCCCACACTTGAGTGGCGCGTATCACTGTGAATATCTGCTATGCTATGAAGGCTGCGTTTGTTATATTGTTTAGAACAATGCAGCCAAACACCATTGGATTTTTCGTTCAGTGCTACATCTCAATTACAGGTTCTTTCCTGAAAACATCGATCCATTCCTTTGCACTGACCTTGTATACGCCTTCGCCAACATGACTGGAAATAGACTGTCAACGTTTGAATGGAATGATGTCCAAATGCAAGCCATTAAATTATTTAACAAATTGATCAAAAGCTTATTGTATCCATTAATTCATTCTTAAGAATAACAAAAAGCTTATAAATCATATAAATCTTAAGAATTAGTGTCGCAAGTGATTCATAATTTCAGTATATTTATTTATATTTACAGTAGAATATAAACAAGCTAGGAGAATAAGGTTATAAAAAGATGCACAATATGAAATATAGTAATATGTAAATCATTTAAATATGTCATTCGCAATAAATTTGCAATTAACAAGCAGTTTTGCTTGATCGTTTTAGGTACCAGCGATTCAATAGTCTTAAAAAGAACAACACAAAACTGAAGACTTTCTTAGCAGTTGGAGGTTGGAATTTTGGAGTGAAACGATTCTCTGACATGGTTGCCACTAGAGAGAACAGACAGGAGTTTGTAAATTCATCTATCGGTGGGTGCTTTCCACCTTTCCTATCTCAAACAGTAATATTTGAAATATTAAGGCAGAATGATTACCAATCTGTGGTCATAACGGTAAAGCGAACAAATTGAAAGGACAATTTTGAAATCACTCCTTTCTAGTAGCTCCCTTACTTTTAACGTCGTTAATAATTTGTTCCAGACTTTCTCAGACTCCATGGGTTTGATGGATTGGATCTTGATTGGGAATACCCTGGACAACGTGGTAGTCCCCCTGATGATAAACAACGATTTACTACACTCTGCATGGTGGGACTTCCTCTACTCTAATTCGCCGTTCTCTAATTTTGTATCTATCCATTCCATTTTTTCTTTTCGATCTCGGCTCAATTGCCATGACAATTGGTTGACTTAATCGGCGTTTATAGCTAGTACTTGACTGATATTTATTTTGTATCAATTAAATACAGTACTATACTATAAATCCCTTAGGAACTGCGGGCGGGGTTCGAAGAGGAAGGGCGGAGTACAGGACGCCCAAGACTAATGCTAAGCGCCGCCGTTGGAGCGGGAAAGTGGACAGCGGACCGATCGTATGAGATGGACAAAATATCAAAGTAAGGGAACCATATTAATCCTATATTGATAATTTAGAAATGCCATGTGAAATGATACATGGATTAAGACGATGTTTTCAAATTAGACAAGGCATTAACATGACTAAATGTCACCACCTAGTTGCTAACAATCTTAAGTCAGTTTGTATGAGAACTTTAGATGATTTTGAAAAAAACTGGTGAATTTGAAGCAAGTTAAAGAAAGGCCTTTTTGACCCTGAGAAGGTCACTGAAGGTGAAATCTCAAATCTAAAGTCAAGTTTGAACTAATTCTGATAACTTAAGATTTTGAAAAATGGTCACTTTGAAGCAAGTTGAAAAATACCATTTTGATCTTTTTTATCTTGAAAGGGTAATTGAAGGTCAAACCTTAAATGTAAAGTCAGATTTGGACTTCAGTCTAAACAAAATTTGTTAAGTTATTGAAAGTTGTAACAGACGCAAACCGCCCGATTGCCAACCTCCAACCGTCGATCGCCGTCACAAAAACGGACACCATGTAGTTTTTTATTTTAATTACCCAACTCATTTTACTCTCCAAATTATATAGGCTAGACTTTTATCAAAAGATAAATTGTATCGTGATTGTAAAGGTCGATAGAGCAATTAGAGCAACAAAAATAAAGGACATTGACAACAATATTCACCACTTTCTGGTGGTGATATAAAAATGATGGGTTGAATCCAACAAGGTATTACATTGTACTTTAACCTGCATGGTAATATTCAGAATAAAAGCGGTTTGATTATTCAAACATTTTTCAATTCAGACCTCTAGATGCGATTTACCTGATGACGTATGACATGCAACCGAATGGCTACATTTACACAGGACACCACAGTCCGTTGTATGCAAACCCTGTTATAGGAGACGGTTCAAGAGATAACAACGTAGTAAGTCGACCATTGTTATAAGCATTATCGCAGTCGCATTAGTTCCCATAATGGTGTGCAAGGTGCTCATTCATCCACAAAAAGCCAACGACATAGTTAAATAACTAACGATATTACACAATCGCCGTCTGGAGTACACCTTATGAACAAAAATGAGGCCGTCAGAACCCCATTTTTTAGGTAGCGGGAGGTGCCAGGCCTTGTCAATCTTTTTTGTTCGTTTCAGAATTTCACAGTGAACTATTGGATTTCCAAAGGGGCAGATCGAAAGAAGCTTATAATAGGGATGCCGGCATTTGGCCGCACAATGGACCTGACCTACACCCAGAATCACGCAATTGGTGCGTGCTCGAATGGAAGAGGGGCGCCAGCACCCGTGACTAGGGAGGCTGGATACATTGCGTATCATGAGGTTATAAACGCAATATGCATTTCGTATTAAATTGTTAAACTAGTCGAGAAGAGATGTTTTACACAAAAGGCATTTATCAAATATTTTATCACCATTTGGTTAGAGACGTTTGCATATTATTTCTTAATGAGAGATCATTATCTTTAACGTTCTGTACCAGTAAAAATGTGGTAAATTCCCAACCCTATGGCTTAACTACATAATTAATTGTTTACACATACTAAAAATCTCCATCTTTTTATAGATATGCTCACTCCTGTCAGACAGCGCCACTGAATACTGGGACCCATTCCAAAGGGTTCCATTCTCAGTGCATGTCCCGTCTCGCAGATGGATAGGATATGAGAATATCAGAAGCTTACAGTTGAAGGTATTTAAAGTTACTAGAATAAAAGAGGAACTTTACTAATAAGTTTCCAAACCAGGCGCGGTTAGTGAAACTCGTTATAGGGCCCTGTATAAGCTGCTGAGGACTACAATCGATACATATCTAAAAAAATAGTGAAATGATCAAATGATCAAAATGATTAAAACATCCAGTACTTAGCATGTGACGTTTGGAGAACGTGTTTTCATTAACATCAGAGTACTTATCGTCAATAAATCGTTAATGAATAATAAGGATGGAGTTTTAAAACTAAAAAGCGAATGTATATTTTGATATTACAGTGAAAACATTTGGGCATGTATACTACAAAAGACATATTTTCGAATCCTCACGTCATGCCATGTCAAATAAATCGCGTGTGTTTTATAGTAATTGCGCATGGTGCACAACGTGTGTTTAGCCATATATTCAGCGAAAATTGTGCACTTTCCAAATATAACTTCTGACAATTCACATTGTTAGGTCTGTAATGCGCTATATTGATTCTTTTAGGTAAGATGGTTAAAGAGCAATGGGTTTGGTGGAGCAATGATATGGACTCTCGCATTGGACGACTTTACGAATAATTGTACAATTCACGATGGACGATATCCTCTGATGAATGCTATTAGAAATATCCTTAGAGCAACATAATAATCCGTCCAACACTGATTATCTTATATGTACCCCCTACTTATATATATCCCACATAGAGGAATAAGACTTCTGAGTACATGTTCAACGCCTCGTATATATTACAGTGTCGGGATGCTGTGCCTGGACAATAAAATCACCATGCATGCGATGTTATAATAAAGAAAACATCCAATGCATAATATATTCCAGTTTCAATTATCGATTTTATGAGTGAGATCGCTACATTGATTGATTAAGAACAAGAGACCAATTTTCGTGATGGATGAGTCACTTGTTTTTTGGTTGAAATGATCATGGTTAAAGTATGAAAACTCAAAAACACCATTCAAATATGATACTAAGTATTATCGCGCGCTAACTTTTCTTAAGACATTCAAAATGGCTGCCATGACTGAGCTAACAGGTCCAAAACCTATTCAGATGTAGAATGAAGTGAGCTGTACAATATGTTAAATTTTTAAAAGCAACTGTGAAGCCATTTTTCTTAAAATTTGGTGACAGGGATCTTAGCATTTGACTTTAAGATGGCAGACAGGAAGTAGGTATCGAGTTCAAATTTTTCATCCACATCTGTATGCACTCATAATATAAGTTATCCCTGAAAGTTTGAAGGTACTATATGGAGCGGTTTTGCAGAAAACGGACGCGCCTAGGCCGACAATATGGCCCCTGTACACTATGTGGTGGGGACATAAAAACTGGAGTGATGTTATGTGATTCTAACTAAACTACCACTAATTAACAAAACATACCTTGCTTCGAATTGTGGCAGTAACATCATCCATCACGTTTTTCCACCATCGATTCTTTCTCAGAATCTTGCATCATAATATTTTTCTTTATGTAGATGACATCATCGACTTAGGAGTTTTTAGGACGGTTGATACTCTTTTTGATGCCGTCGACATCTTTCTTTTCTAATTGTTGTGCCAAGATTACAGAAAACATTGTCACGAGTATCGTATAAGATAACATTGTTGTAAAATTCATGATGATATGATTCTGGTTTTGTATTCAAAGCTTGAATGAAATGAACAATTAATGCACTCTTTATCTTACATAACTATCAATAAATATATTTTTTATTTTAACCTATTTATGTAAATTAGGGCATCAAAACAATACCCCGCTAGACGAATAAACATAAATATAAAATATTATATGTCGACAACAAAAATGAACATCAATCTAAAATAGCAAAGGATAGGTATCGATATGGTGAACTGAATTCAACAATGTTTTTCTCTTAAACCAATTATTGAAAACATTCTGTAAAAACACGGTCCTTTATGTATTGTTGACTGATTGGTAACAATTTAATGCAAAAATTATTTTTATATATTTTATGTAACTGTTGTTGTTAACAGCTTTATCGTTTTTTTAGTGAAATTGTTTTTTGTTCCTTTCTATCAATTCTTGAGAATGAAATAAAATGTCTTTCCGAACCTTGTTGGAACAGGAAAGCATTATGCAACATTTTCTCAGACCTCTCAACAGTATATTTATACAAATGAAACTGTGGTTGATTTAACAAAAAGTATGCAAAAACTTAAAACAAAACCCCCAACAGGATCTTAAGAGGTTCTGGACAAATCATTTGATTCTGGACTTGTCATATTTTTTTTTCAACGAAATCACATCCAAGGGTTGAATTTTTATTAGCTATTTAGAGAGTGAGTCCTGCCTAGTATTAATTTCAATAAAAAAGTTAAAATAGAACCCTATTTGAGAGTCAATCTAATACTTACATTACATTGATAAATTAAGGCAAATCCTGAAATATTTTTAAAGTGCGTTTTTTAATGAAATATTATCCAGCAAGTATTTAAATGAAACGGTCTTATTCAAATACAAATCATAACATGATATTTTTCATGAAACATTTTTCAATGAAATTCAATTGAAGGGTCAAGATAAAACGAGCTAATTAAGGTGAAAACCCTTACATGATGATGTGTTTTCATAACTTCTTTCATAAAATTCCATCAAGGGGTGAAGATAAAATGATCGAATTTAAGTGATTTAAGGATCACGAGAATATGTTTTCTTTGATATTTTCTATGAAATCCCATCCAATGGTCAAGGTAAAATTTTGATTTTGATTTGGTCACGTGTTCGAAAGATCCATATAAGGCCCATAGAACCATATAGGAACGTCATTTTGAATGTCACGTGATAGATCCATATAAGGCTTTTAGAACAATTTATGGAAAGATGAGGGAAGCCCCTGACACCTGTTTCACGATTTTTATGCACTTCATTATTGTACCGAAGTTTGCCGATTCGATTCGTCGTATTTCGGAATCCTGGTGACAATTTTATACTCCATTGGAGTATTTTTGACCTACTTCTTATGACGGAAATTCCCGAACCTTGTTCGGATTAATCCGGATTTTCTGACCTACTTTATCTACCGAGATTTCACGAGTTAACATTCGTCTCATTCCGGAATCCTGGTGACAATTTTATACTCCATTGGAGTATTTTTGATCTACTTTTTCTGGATTTTGCCCTACTTATTATATCTTGACAAAAAGCAAATCAAAAAGTTCGACATGAACGGGTCTCGATCAACTAACCTAGACTATGGAAGACAGGCACGCTAACCATGAGTCCAACGAGCTACCGATATGAAAGAACAAAAAGTATTATATATTTATACCGAGCGTCAATTCAAAATGATCCTCACTTTTGTCTCCACTTAAATACGACTCGTCAGTTGTATCCAGAATAGTAGAACGCCTATGGCGCTAGTGAATAACCAAGTCCCAGGTGAGTGGTTCGTATCCCTCAGTGATATACTATTTTTGTTTTATTAAATACGACAGAAAGGAGAATGGTGTAGGTTGAAAACAAGACGTTAGTTAGTTTCAAAACAGTTGGAAACATTAATCTCTGGAACATTATTTTTTCAACACTGATACAAATTTCCCTGACATTTCCCTGACATGTCTACCGTTTCAAAATTCCCGGTCATCTTTGGCCCTTTTGACCTAATTTTAAAATTACCTGACATTTCCAGCACTTGGAAAATCAAGTTAATTTCCCTGACATTTCCAGGTGTGTATGAACCCTGGAAATATCCCACTGGCTCGCCCTATGAATCGCTAGCACAGATTGGATTGATTAGTGTTTCAAAATGGTGGACGAAGTGTTTGATTAGATAATTTACATATTAAGCTTCTTAAAGGGGCAACAAGGCCTGTACATAGAAAATTCGAAATTTTTTACATTTTCTGAATTTTTAGGGCAACATTTGGCTTTAGCATCTTTTTATACATTTTTTCTTAAAATGTATGGATAAACAATAAAATTTCAGCATTAAGCAGTGCAAATTCAGTTCAAAGCTTCTATAAAGGGAGTCCAACTTATAGATTTTGAAAATCCGACTCGTTTAAAGAAGAATATCAGCAGCTTAAATCACGCCTTGTGATCATACAAAATGGATGGAGGGGGGGGGGGTAGGCGATTTCTGCAAGAAAACTCAACAAATGTGGAAGATTTATTTTTTTCAAGATAAAATTTACAACTGAATTGCGAAATGAATAGGCGCAGTGCATGGCAAAATATGTAAGGTCTTCTAGTATTTTTTGAACTGATACGCTTCTAAGATATGAGATCTATTATAAAAGGCGCATCATCATCATCATCAACGTGCAAAAGTCAATGTTTTTGCTATAAATCAGGCAACAATGGTCTACACGACCTGTAATAAATAGGTATGAGGAGCGTTATTAGAGAATTTTCGTTATAAGTTTTTTAAAAACTTATACGTATACTTATACTTATAAACCCAATAAACAAGGTGTTTCATAATTTCCTAATTCGTCGGGAAATATCTCATAGGACGGTGATAAAAAGGGCCAATGGCATACCATCCGTACCCCCTTGATGTAAAGCATGTTTAGTTGTGTCATATGTGTTTTCTAGAATCAAATAGGCTGATATAGCACACGGGTTTTACAGATTTATCTACTCTCAAATATATTTTTTGTAGATGATCGTTTTGAATCACCTTGTAGAAATAACGAAGGGAGAATTAGTTCAGCTAATGAATGAGTCGAGCTATTTGATTGGATACTATGCCTATTCAGCCGATTAATTTTAATAAGCCATTCTGGTCAGTAGGTCCACACATATACTATGCGGAGATCCAACTCTGTAAGTTTATAATCTGCGTATAAAGGCCCTTTTATACGTAAAAACTTAAAAATTGACCTTATAATTTCATGAGAACTTTGAAATGATCGACTCGTTCGTGTAGTGATTCACTTTAAAGGGTCTTGTTTATCGTACACTACAAGGACCCGTCAACTAGAATTTAGTTTATCGTGTTCATAATTGACACTAGCAAAGGACATTGTATTCGCAGTCCCTAGTTGATGATGAAGCTTGACTATATCGGGAATAGTTATGCCCCACTTGGTACAGATTATGAAAATCAATTTGAATTGATTTTAGTTCGACAAGACCCTTTAAGGTCTCATGGAAGTTAACAGGAAATGACAAAACAGGAAGTGACAATTTTTTGGGCATTTTTAGACATTTTTTGAACAAAGATAACAGAGTTCTGGTTTGACCTCCAGTCAATTTAACTGTTTCCACATATCATCTACATGACCAGGATCACAATGTGCATGGTCAGAATGACCCTAAACATGATGAAATAACCTTTTTCTTTTTAGTCCCTTGAAAGTGTGACTGAAAAAAAGCTAAAAGTAGGAGCTAGGGAAGGTCACTGAACAGAATCTTTTGAATTTTTCAGAAAATGTGCCCAATATAATGCTCTAACTGATACAACCTTTGAAATTTTAAAAAATTGTCGTAAACAAAAATGGCGGTCATAAAAAGGAAAATAGATCGCTTTTCAAATCAGTTTTTTCATTTTTTTTCTCTTTCTATGAATGATATCAAATTTTCAAAGATTGTACCATTTAGAGCAATATATTGAGCACATTTTCTGAAAAATTCAAAAGATTCTGTTCAGTGACCTTTCCTACCTCCTTCTTTTAGCTATTTTTCAGTCACATTTTCATAGGGCTGAAAAGGTTATTTCATGATATTTAGGGTCATTCTGACCATAAACATTGTGATCCTGGACCTGTAAATGGTATCTGGAACTAGTTGAATTGACTGGAGGTCAAAAGTGAACTCTGTTATCTTTGTTCAAAAAATGTCTAAAAATGCCAAAAAAATTGTCACTTCCTGTTTTGTCATTTCCTGTTAACTTCCATGAGACCTTAAACTATAAGTATACGTATAAGTTTTTGAAACAACTTATAACGTAAATTCTCTATTATCACAACACTGACATTGCTCACTTTTTAAAGTTGTTTCAAAGCGTTATATGTAAATGGGCGTGTGGAAGGCCCGTGGGTGGCAATAAAATAACTCGAACTTCAAATTAAAATATATATAAAATAGTATATTTCAAACTTCAATGTTTAAAATACAATGCTCTGTAATGTACAACATGAACTCTTACAGCAACTACTGACAAGCCAACACCCAATGCGAACTCAGCTACATGTGAGTGAGAAAGACCATATAGGGGAACAATAGATATATAAAACTGACACAGTTTGCATAGTTGAATAACTTAAGGTGAAAAGTGAACATGGTATTAAAAGAGTAAAACTGCAAACAACCTACTTAGGGACCTGTTATATTGAGATGAATAGGGATTGATTAATATGAACAGTAATAATATAAAATGTGAAAATGACCATGTTACATATACAAAAAATAACCCCATTGTTACAAAATCACAAAAAGTGAAATATATATTCTTGTATTGCATTTTCGTTCACTGGACATATTTTAATTGCATTGCTATTAGATACATTTTAAGGGTGATATGAAAATTGAACCACGAAAACAGATGTACTTTAAGTTAAAGGGAACTTTCTACCATACCCGCCATGCTATCTGACCCGAACGAGCCACCTTGTGGTGAGATTGGTAACTACCTGCTCGCATCTGCGTTATTACGCAGAGACATAAACGTATACACAAGGAAACGATAGGAGATAACCTATTTTATCTCTGTATACATTTTAACTTTAAAGTGCCCGATAAACTATAAAATGCGCATGCGTCCAGGTGTTGATAAACTATAAATAGCGAAAATCCAGGGTTTGTCACCACAAGGTAAGCCAGGACGTGTTGAGAGAACAGCTAGTGTTGATATTGAATTTATATGTAGCCAGATAAGTTTCCTTATTGAAATTACATATGGTTATTAGCAATACTTTGTAGGTGCTAAATAATAAAATATTTAGAGTATATATGAGAGAAATTGGTCATTTCGAACCTGTTGAAAAGTTTGTGGCTCTCGGCTACACCGGGGAATTTACTTCCATGAGTACACACATAAATGTGGGGTTCCCCAAGAGGTACGCGACAAGGTGACCTGGCATCAAATGTGCGACTAAATGCTACTATCGAGAAGATAAAATAACGAATACGACAATAAGTTATTGCATGTGACAATTCCGAGCCTTCATCTCACTGAAGTATTTTGAAGTGAAAATAGGATTTTTGTTTTGATACATGGATTCAGATGAACGTAACTTTATTCTGACAACTAATCAAAACTGAACAAAATTGATTGTACGTAACAGACAATTTATTGTTTTACAATGTTTTGATTGGCTAAACGAATGACACCAACAAATTATGACATGTAAAATGACAATTTTGAAATGTAAAATTTAAAAGTGACAAACACAACCTCCCTATCCACTCTTTGGGAGCCCTTGTAAATTAGTAATATGGACATGCAGCAGTGGTAGTGTACAGCTTATTATCACACTACGCTTTGTATTCTAAAGCCTGTTGTTTGTAATAACACTGTTCACTCAACGTATGTTTTGTGTGTGGGCAGTCAACGATAATCATTGTTTTATCCCGGTTATATGACCTCGGCAATTATAACAAAACCGTACTAAACGAAAAAACGCAAATAAGAGAAAGCTTTCACACACATATAAAAAAATGAACTAGTCTAATCCGCCAGTATAAACTCTGTGCTTTACGTAGCCGGGTCAGGCGCGCACTTTAATACATCGTTGAATCGAATTTGTCCAAAGGTCTTGAAACGTAAAATACCTAAATATTTATCTTAGACCTTGGGATGACCTTGTACAAGAAACATTAATGTTGACCTCGGTTCATCTAATCACAATTCGCCAAGGGCCATAGTATCATCAAACGCCAAATACCTAGACATTGATCGTTTACTTGGATTTAAATAAGGAGTATGATTTTAAAATTGGCTAGGTCGTGGTTAAGCAACAATAGTATGTTCGAAATACCGCTGTGTAATGCCTGGATCACATTTGCTGCGAGTATTTTGTTAAAAATTGAATACATTTCTGAACACAATACTCAATCGGCCGGGCGCCGTAGTGAAAATCGGAGCAAATGTGACCAAGACATAAAACAATTGAATAATACTGTATCAGTTTCACATTTACAGCGGTCAAAAGCATTTACAAAAAACCGCCGGAGTTGGCAATCATATAAAATGAAACCAATCCCGCTGTGATTCATAGAAATAACTAATTTACTGCATTGAGTTCAATGTTATAACCATGTCGATTTACATGAGTGTCCGATTCATTGTACCAAAGGATCTTGTACACCTGCCATTATGATCTCCCCATGAACAAAATGAATCATTTTTAGGTGTAATATAAAGATACAATGTTACATAATACTTTGGAAAATGTTTAAGCGTTTGGCCCCACATGGGCTGAGGTTGGGGTCATTAAGTTCAGCAAGGGTGTATTGACTTGACATTGGATGTGTTCTATTGACTTAACATGTGGATACCATCAGATTCCAATGGAGGCCATTGGTTTCTATTGATTTTCACAAAAATACCTAAAATACACTATGACCTGAATCGATTGCAAATTAAATAATTTCACAATATGACACAAATGGTATTTCAGATCAGATGTGCAAATATAAAGTTTGCAATCGATTCAGGTCATACTTCAAATTAAAAGATTATTCATTTTTTTCATCATTTTTTTTCCTACAAAATGGCTATAGAAAAATGCTTCAAAAGCAACTTTTACACTTATGAAATCCCATACAACTTTGTAAATCCAAAGATTATACTGTTATGATTCATTAATTAATAACATATTTTGATAAGATGTAGGGATGTGTAGGATGCAAATGGATTTTGACAGAGACAAAAAGACTTCCTGGTTTGGCATCTCTACCCCTGTACACTTTATGATTGAATATTGCCCTAAAAAGTGGCCCATTCATCAATACAGTGCTGAATATAGGTCAACAAGATACTAGTGTACATATAAATGTAATAATAAAAGCAGTATATTTATTTTGAAAAATCAGATGAATTTATTTTTGTTCATGGGGAGATCATAATGGCAGGTGTACAAGATCCTTTAAACCTTGACTGTTCTCCAGAAAGCAATAAGCTGACATATATCATATTTTACATTTTAATACAACTGAAAAGATAATAAATGTTTTAATATAAGTTGACGTAGTTATAAATGTTTTCAGCGTAAAATCAAAGCACAACCATATAATTAAAAACATCACGCTGGGATTCCAACTGGATACAACTGACGAGTTGTATTTAGGTGGCCTAAAGTGCTGCTTATTTTTTCGTGAAGCCACTCAGTAAAATTACGATTTCTCTCAACCCTGATGTTCAATCAACATCATTCGAGTATCTATATGTTCCTGACACGTTCGGGCATCCGGTTATGACAACGTCTACCCAATGTTTGCACGAGAAATTGACGTAATTCATGACTGAAATCGGGAAGACAAAAATATGTGATATTCTTTCAGAATTGTTTATAATAACTATTTACAAAAACGTTCCCGAGACACAATCCATTTAGGTAGGGTTTGTTTTAAAGTCGAAAAGCCCCAATAAGACAATACAAACCCAGATTAAACCCAGAAGAATGCAGATTTCATGTAATGATTTACGTTCATGTAAACAAGGAAAGTACATATAATCCCCATATAAAACACTGGCCTACGTGACATGTAAACACAGGTTCAAATTGAAATATAGAAAATTTTCAACATAGCATTTGCTTCTGTGTTCTGTATGCCCCTCTACCTGCTAATAAGGCAATGTATCTTCAAATAAAACCTTAGCCAAGTAGATAAGGGTCTACTATTCTGGATACAACTGAGTCGTATTTAAGTGGAGTCAAAAGTGAGGATCATTTTGAATTGACGCTCGGTATAAATATATAATACTTTTGTTCTTTCATATCGGTAGCTCGTTGGCCTAATGGTTAGCGTGCCTGGCTTCCATAGTCTAGGTTAGTTGATCGAGACCCGTTCATGTCGAACTTTTTGATTTGCTTGTTGTCAAGATATAATAAGTAGGGCAAAATCCAGAAAAAGTAGATCAAAAATACTCCAATGGAGTATAAAATTGTCACCAGGATTCCGGAATGAGACGAATGTTAACTCGTGAAATCTCGGTAGATAAGGTAGGTCAGAAAATCCGGATTAATCCGAACAAGGTTCGGGAATTTCCGTCATAAGAAGTAGGTCAAAAATACTCCAATGGAGTATAAAATTGTCACCAGGATTCCGAAATACGACGAATCGAATCGGCAAACTTCGGTACAATAATGAAGTGCATAAAAATCGTGAAACAGGTGTCAGGGGCTTCCCCTCATCTTTCCATAAATGATTCTAAAAGCCTTATATGGATCTATCACGTGACATTCAAAATGACGTTCCTATATGGTTCTATGGGCCTTATATGGATCTTTCGAACATGTGACCAAATCAAAATCAAAATTTTACCTTGACCATTGGATGGGATTTCATAGAAAATATCAAAGAAAACATATTCTCGTGATCCTTAAATCACTTAAATTCGATCATTTTATCTTCACCCCTTGATGGAATTTTATGAAAGAAGTTATGAAAACACATCATCATGTAAGGGTTTTCACCTAAATTAGCTCGTTTTATCTTGACCCTTCAATTGAATTTCATTGAAAAATGTTTCATGAAAAATATCATGTTATGATTTGTATTTAAATAAGACCGTTTCATTTAAATACTTGCTGGATAATATTTCATAAAAAATGCACTTTAAAAATATTTCAGGATTTGCCTTAATTTATCAATGTAATGTAAGTATTAGATTGACTCTCAAATAGGGTTCTATTTTAACTTTTTTATTGAAATTAATACTAGGCAGGACTCACTCTCTAAATAGCTAATAAAAATTCAACCCTTGGATGTGATTTCGTTGAAAAAAAAATATGACAAGTCCAGAATCAAATGATTTGTCCAGAACCTCTTAAGATCCTGTTCCCCCCAAATAGATAAAAATTAAACTTAACCTATTATTTCATAAACAAGATATACTTTTTTAAAATCAACCAAACTTTCCTTTGTACAATTACAATATTGAGAGACCTAAACACGTTGTGTTTATGTCGTTTTGTTCCAATTTCATATTAATCCGAACATATGATACCAAGAACAAAAGAAGTGTCCGATGTGTTTTCTAAAACAATATAGAGAAAAGTATATATATATTTCAGGTTATAATTTTACCAATCAAAAGATGACCATTAAATTGACGATGTGTATACGTTTCAGAATGTTTGATGACTGGTTTAAGAGAAACACGTGTTCAAAAAGTTCACCATATCGGTACCACTCCTTTGAATCACCGGGGGTCACATGATCACATATTTAGTAAGAGTTTAAAGACATATTGTAACATACAGCCGACAAAATAGTTAAAAAAATATTTTTCGGGATTTAGAGTCAATTTCATGGTTTAAAACCTTCTCCGATGATTCTATTTTCGAACTGTGCATGGAAATCCATCCAGTCATCTATTGAACCTTGAAAAGCCATATTTAGAATGAGGATTGAAAGGTGTTCGCGACAACTATCAGCTCATCTTTATTACGATCAACCGGCACTGAATGGTGGTAATGTTATTTTTATGAAGCGGGAAAGTCAAAATACTACAAATAGAAATCATAGTAAGCATTTGAAGATCATTAAGAACTATTTAAAATCGAATCCACGGCAAAATTTGAAATAATTAAAAGTTTCCACACAGACCTCAGAAAAATATTTACGGTTTTGTAATCCATGATTTTATCGATCAAATTTTTTTTTATGAATTTTATTCGATATCTACTGAAATATGGTATATATCCTTGACAATAACATTTATCCTACTCAATGGAGAGAGAGTCTAACTAAACCTTTATTTTAAAGTGGAGATTATTTATTACCAAATAATTATCGTGGGATTGCGTTATCAAGTGCAATGAGTAAATTGTTTGCAGATATTTTGAATAAAAGAATGGAAGAATTCATAGAGTCGCAAAATATAATTCATAGAGAACAAATCGGGTTTAAAAAGAATTGCCGAACTGCAGATCACTTATTGATATTGAAACAGTTAATTGATAAATATGTGACGGTAGGGAAATATTTATATACTTGCTTTGTAGATTTCAGAAAAGCCTATGATAGCATATACAGGCCACTTTTATTGCAGAAATTAAAAAATCTAGGCATGGGAGGCAAAATATATGATATAATCGATTACATGTACGCAAGTATCATATACAGAGTAAAACTTAAAAACGGGTTAACAAGTCCAATACACTCTAAATTAGGATTAAAACAAGGCTGCTTAATCAGTCCTTTATGTTTCAACTTATATATAAATGACATAATAGATATTTTTGATGACCAATGTAAGCCTGTCAAAATCAGTAGTAATGATGAAACGTTAATAAATGTACTATTATATGCGGATGATCTGGTCTTGATATCAGAAACAAATGAGGGACTACAATACTGTCTTGATAAACTAAAAACATATTGTTCAAAATGGAAATTAAATATTAATATTAAAAAAACGAAAGTTGTGATTTTTAATAAATCAGGAAAAATAATAAAATACAGTCATTTTAAATTTGGAAGTATAAATATAGAAAAAGTAAATGGATATAAATATTTGGGATATGTTTTAAAAAGCTCTGGGAGTTTGAAACATGGCATATCAGAATTAAGCAAGAAGGCGTTGAAAGTTATTTTTATGATGAGACAAAATGTTAAGTTTTCAACTATCAATGTAGAATTGCACACAAATATCTTTGACATGTGTGTTAAGCCTATATTATTATATGGAAGTGAATTTTGGTCAATGCTTCACTTGAAGGTTGACATAAGGATTAGTCAAGGGGACCTTAAACTAGAGATTTCTTATGAAGACTTTATTCCTGAGAAAATACACAATAAATTTTGCAAATTCCTTTTAGGGGTTAACAAATATACTTCAAGTTATGCCGTCAAAAAAGATTTAGGAAGATTTCCATTAGCTATAGATTCACTTATATATTCCATTGGTTGAAATGTGTGCATCAAACAAACACGGATAGCTTAATAAATATATCATTTCGGGATAAAAATAACATATATGTCAAACGCTTCCTAGTCAACTCGTACCCAAGACAACTCGTACCCAAGACAACTGGTACCCAAGACAACTCGTACCCAAGATTATTTTCAGTATTATGGGTGCATATTAGGGAAAAAATTGAGTTTGTAATGCTTTCCTGTTATAATGTGAATAAAATAAGCCTCAATATTTTTTTGAATTTAGAAGACATTTTTTCCAAATGAATCTGTAAAGTATTTTTTTATTAAATAAAAAAGTGCTTGAAGCGCTTGTTCTCAACATTTTGTTTTGTCAAACATATATATAAATAAATATAATTACAACATTAGATCTGACACTTGTTCCAAACACTCATTAACATACAATATTTTGAAAAATGATTATGAATATGTGGAATAAACATATGTCTCTTCACTCGAACATCCTGAATCTGTGACCAATATAAAATAAGAGTAAATATTAATTGACACTCAGCTCAAAATGTCACAAGATAACAGTATGTTACAATTATAATATGTATATATATTCACATTCCCAGTCCAACGCTTGATTCAAAACAAAATATATACTTGGGTACGAGTTGTCTTGGGTACGAGGTGTCTTGGGTACGAGTTGACCAGTTACCATGTCAAACATATGGAATGCATATTAAAGTACTTTCATTTTCAACATGTCTTTGAAAATGGGACTACGTTTGGAATAAAACGATTACTAAAAGCAATTAAACTTGAAATGCAAAGAAAATATATAGAACATATATATGTAAATGTCTTGTAATTGATTTTGTGAGGAAACCAAGTGTTTGGTTTGAGACACAATAAAATCTTGAATCTTGAATCTTGGTATGCATGCTTGTGTTGATTGTTAAATTACAAAATAGGTAGGGTAAGAAATATGTTAAAGTCGTTTGATTTTGTCTCAGCAATATTTTGTTATTTTTATCGCCTAGAATTGCTTTAAAACTGTTTTATTGATTACAATAGTGATTTCACTGATTCGTTATTTTTTTCTCACTGACATATGATATTCAAACAGATGTGTCTGTATATAATTCCTATTAGTGATGAGGCATGACGAAATAAACAAAATTATTTATAATTGTTCTTTACTTTGCATTTTTATCATAAATTTTGAAGCATGATTACAAAAACTCAATTTTTGGCCGTTTTTGCAATATTTATTTACTCATTCCAAGAACGAAGACATTTCACGAAAGGGTAGGATACCTGCACTGTACGAAAATCTAGGGTAGCTGAACTGCATGAAAATGTAGATAACCCACACTACTTCTAATATATAGGGATTACTCCACAGGGGCGCTAGTGAAAGGTAGAAAGGCGCAAGTGAAAAGGTAGAAGATAAAACACTACTGAAAATGAACAGACTTTATATTTTGTTTTGTTTAGATAATTTGGCAAAAAGTATGACGAAAAGATTCATTCATTTCGGACCATTTCCCACTTAAATTGCCATTGGTTTGAGAGACAGTTGTATTTCCAGTACTGGATCATCCTAGAATAAACGACACACGATATATTATAATAAAATATCGAATTCTTGAATTGCAATTTAAAATAGCCATTTTTTTTAGATTTCATCCTCAATCATTTCAACATCTTCGGTTCAAAATGATTTTGAAGGTTAGGACATGCATAACCCGTGTGTAAACCAGAACGTGTATAAAATAACTTTTCGTGGACGGTATTCGGCGGTTGGTATTTTTTAATCATACATACCCTTTATTTCATAAAAATCAAAATAAATAACATTGTCATATAATATTATGTTTAAACTTAATTTAATTTAACTGTAATTTTCTAAATTAACTAATTCTAATCATTTTGTAATACTTGTTGTGAAGAGAGTGTATTCTTCTATTAAATGTCGGTTACTAGGTGAACACAATATAGATATACTGGAGTTTAATATATTTGCTTTGTAAAATGTGCCAATTGAAGTGAAAATATCACCTTCCTAAGAAAAAGTATTTCTATCGATCCATTATTAATCATTCAGAATCAATAGGGTTATTAAAAGCAATGTGATAAAAATGATCTAGTTTCTGATTAATGTCCGGGAAGTTTTCTTACTGGACCTTTTAAAACAACCTATTGTATGCATGTGTCGATAAAGTAAGAGATTTGTTATTATTGTTATAGAGATAATGTATTGATTCCCAAGCTTCTATTTATATAAGCAACGGTGACTCTTAGTATATGATGTATACTAGGTAAGCAAAATAAAGATATATCACAGTTTAATGTATTGTATGTGGACAGAGAGTCCAAAGAAGTGGACACATTACTTACCTAAAAATAGCATCAATTTCATTAGTATCGATCCTTTTCACCTCACATATACCATATGCAACCTGGTAGTCACAGTTTCCCTCAATCCTTTGAATTGTGGGATTTGGATATACACCATTATCAACTAACCATTTCAGGAGACCATCTTTTATTTCTATGAAATGATTTTTAATCTTATCATAGGATACAAGACTAAACTTGATTGATACCCGATTTGACTTTTTAAAACATTAAACATTGCATTTTGAAGCTTTTACAATTACTTGGTTGTTCACTGTATACTGACAGTTTTCGAAAATACTTGAAATGCAAACAGGCAATTTTAACTTATAAGGTTCATTTACAAACCATTTAATCCATCGTGTATATCGTCTGGCATAACAACCAAGCCCTCCTCGTCCCAGATGTCCGATGCTGCCAAAAAATCACCAGAGCGTACTTTATCACTATGATACTTTAAGCGATCTTTTATTGCTTTTTCAATTTTAGCTGAAATTAAAGATAACAATATCCTAAAATATACTAATAGTAAATTTAAGTATGCTTTGGGTACGAGAAACTGCAACTCCCGGAATTACTATTCCCACCCTTTTCAAGTCAAACCCCCGCCCCTATAAATCCATTTTCTTTGAAGGTTGGTCGAAAATATGTTAAACTAGTCATAATAAATTAACAACGAGATGATATATCTATTGATTTTTGTTAATTCTTGAAGACAATCAAAAGTTTGTTGTATTCATATTCGTATTTTTATGCTTATATATAAATTACAGCAAAGAATGAGTCATTGCAAATTCAAGAAACGATATATTTTACTCTCAGTTTCACATATGATCATGTTATAACTTTGTGGGAATAGCGATGCGTGTAAAATTTACATTCCTATTCAATGTTATTTTTTTATTTCCATGTTGACCGGCACATAATCAACAGCTTTGAATGATGTTTCTCATTCCCTCACTGCCCACGTGAGTAAGGGGGGGGGGGGGGGGGTCAAACCCAACCCCCCTGCCCACACATCTAGAAATTTCTATGTTGGGTGGGAGACGAAAACAAGGCATTTACCTGACAAAATGTCACGAACTAGTTGCTCACAATGTTATGAGTTAAATCTTAAGTCAGATTTGAATTTCTGAAAACGTGTAGATGATTTTAAAAATAAAAATTTGTCAATTTGAAGCAAGTTGAAAAGAGCTTTTTTGACCCTGACAAGGTCATTGAAGGTGAAATCTCAAATCTTAAGTCCGATTTGAACTTCTGGGAACTTGTAGATGATTTTGATAAAAATAATTGGCCAATTTGAAGAAAGTTGAAAAAATACCTTTTTTTGACCTTGAGAAGGTCAAATATCTTTTGACCTTGATAATGGCACTGAAGCTCTTTGAGAACTTCTAGATGATTTTGAAATAAGAATTGGTCAATTTGAAGCAAGTTGAAAAAATATATTTTTGACCTTTTTGAACTTGAGAAGGTCAATGAAGGTAGAATCTCAAATCTAAAGTCAGATTTGAACTTCTGATGACTTGTAGATGATTTGAAAAAAAATTGGTCGATTTGAAGCAAGTTGAATTTTTTTTATTAAGCAAAAAGGTAACAGGTAATAGAAAATGGAAGTTCATCGCTTCACAAAAAAACGTTGAAGAAACGAACCTTTTGATAATACAAATACAATATTCTGGATGTCAAAATCCGCCTCATTCTAAAAAGTGTGTCTAGATTACATGATGATCACATAAAGAATAAAACAGTTGGAACCTTCCAAAAAGCTCTCCTTATCAAAGAATCCTTCTCTTTGACATTTCTTCGCAGGAGGCGAAGAAGTAATATTAGGGAGTTTAAGCTTGAATGTAAAATCGAAACGCTAACCTATGCGTTGTACCTTACCGTAACCGAGCATTATACCATATACTACTTTGATAGTTTGTGAAGTTGGAACTAAAAAAAATCTCGGTCAAGATCACTTTCTAGGATTTTGTTACAGACATTTACATATGAAAATATCTAGAAACTAGATCAGATCTTTCTAAAACGATGAAAACATCAGATTGCTCAAATGCCATCACCCTCGTGTTGTACCTACCCTGCGTGTTCACCTGTCACGCTTAATTTAGTGGACACCCTGTGCGTAATAATAGGACAAGGTCCATTTACTTTCAAAATTAAAGTAATTTAAAGACTTAACAAATATAATATAAACAAGGTGAAAGGAATATATTACATTAAAATACCTTAAATTTGTATATTAAAGAGTGAACATGAATAAATATTTTGCTTTTCAACATTATTTATAATGTATGATGTTATAAAGTAGACCATGTCATAGTAAAAGGGGTACTCTTGGAATGATTAATGGAGTCTATTATAAATGTATCCTTCGAAACAGACATGTATTGGGGAATTAATGATTATCAAACATCCTTTTCTGGAAAAAAACAAATTAAATGAAGCCACAAACGTTGTCCTATAGTGAGGGCATCGGAGAAGAACTGTACATGTAAAATTGTATGAACGTATCTTTTCCATTGCTCGATTTTGACATGAGGTCGTTCAAAATAATTTGCGGCTTATACTTTCAAACGATAATGTTGACTCTATGTACATTTTTATTTTTACAATTTAATACTAATATCCAAGGGAACATGTTTATTGTTTGTTTGATACACACACATGTGATGACACGTCGCAAAAAGTTCGCGCACGTATTGTTACACATTTTCGCTTTTCAACACCACAAGATGTGACGTTTTTTGAGAAAAATGTACACACATGGAAATCCTTTCGTCCTCCACATTTGCCTCTATATCACAAAATTTTTAAGGCGAATAACTTTGATATCGAATATGTATTAACAATGGGTTAGGAGCATCATTAAACACGAATCATTTGATATTTTAGGTGAAATAAATATATGTGTTGCTGTGTTGGAAAATAGGTGAATGGTGTAAATTCGCCCTATTTTAATGAATTTTGAAAGCCTTTCTTTCTTCACTTTTCTACATACAACAGAAAACACATACGTTTGCGATCAAAATCAGCTATTTATTAATAAACTAAAGTTTATGAGCAAAATAATCATGTATGACATTTTAAAAATTGGTCTCCTATTTTTTGTTTAATGTACACTTGAAAAGTTGAAGGTAACAAAAAACAAAAAATGAGCAAAAAAGGTCGCTGTCGACAGATTCTATTTTTCGAACTATATGACCTCACAATATGGGACGCTTATAAGAATTCATCCTTTGAAAAACCACTTCCATCTACCTTTATCAAGACGAAAATCAAGTATAATAGTGAAATATTGTTTGAGTTATGTGTGTTTAAAGACTAAGATTTATTCAAAATGTAACGTGTCGACAGCGGATATTTGGCAGATTTTCGGGTAAAAAAACTATTTTTTAAAACAGAACGCGCAAGAATTGTGAAATAAGTGTACTTTATTTGAAAAGTTACATACATGCGATACCCTAAAAACACAAGTGCACCAGCTTTTTGCGACGTGTCGATGAATAATATCTTATTTGAAATTAAACCAGACTTATTGAACGATTAACGAAAATATATTAAGTTTCTATTTCTTTGAACACTGCTCGGGTTACGAACTGCCAATATTGTTCCAATGATGCCACTTACGAATTTATAAAATATAATGTGTTTCCTCTACAATTCAAGAAAAAACATCGTCGTATGAATATTTTTATTTTCAAATTTTGTATTTTTGAAATATCAATTATTTTAAATTGGCCCATATGTAAATGGATACTTCCTGGTATTCGAAACTGGGCAAGTATTCTGTGTTGTCTGGACATTCTGATTTTTAAGTACTGTTCAGTCACTACGCTATATTACAATTGACGGAATATCAATATCATATCCGTATATACGCTCTGTAAAATTGATTATCATGAGTTGAACTCAACCGTTATTTTGAAAATTGCAACTTCATACCTTGATTTCCAGCTGCAATACAACATGACCTATTGTCTTGGTTTATCATCAATGTCTGCTTTATGTCCCTAATACCAGTAGAAAATGACTTTTCAAGATTATTCATCGCCTTCTTTAGACGGCTCATATCTTTCTTCTCACATTGCTGTGCCAACATAAGTTGAAACGAGACAAAAAGTATGATGAAAGATACCGTTGAAAACATCTTGGCTTTAACCTGTGATATAAGTCAGTGATATGATACATACATATATATATATTATATTATAAATTCTTTATAATTTATAAATGTCAAAAGTTGATTGATGTAAGGTCATTTAATCGTCAACACGAGTGAGTAAATTAACAGTGATTAATGATTTAATATACATTTTTTCATATTCATGATTTATATTTTATATATTTTATATTCATATTTTAATACTTTTTCTGCACGGTATTTTATTTTCTCTAATTTGATGCCCTTGCCTGGTTAGAAATTAGAAGAAAATAAAAAGACCTTATACATCCAGATATCATTAATATCTTCAGAGATATAGAGGATATCCTATGATTTATGAGTAATATGATTTTTATCCACGAATGTATAATCTGCACGAGCGAGCGTAGCGAGAGATATATCCATGAAACCAACAAACTAAAACTAATTCCTTGAAATATTAAGTCTATATCTTCCTCATCGTATTTCAAAATGGTTGAAAATTCTAAATCGCATCACATCCGTTATAATGTCTATTTCGTCTGAAATACGTTAACACTCGTTCTGATTATAGAACGTGACGACAACAAGAATTTTTCGAAAACGCTCTAGATTCTGAAGAACCTGTTCTAAGTACCTCCAATTGGTTCTCCATGACCTAAAGAAGGCAATCACTGCTAAATGTAATGCCATTACAAATGTTAAATATGTAAGGGTATCTTGCCATATACATCCAGTTCTGCCTTGGTCTCAATTGTGGCAAATTGGAGCAAGTAATGTAAATGACCACAACTATAAACATTTTGCCACCCATGAAACAAATTATTATTTTACTGATTAATAATATAATGGTGAATGACACTGAAGTTGAGTTGTATAAGTATGAGAATAGCAGGACGTCTTGATATTTCAAGGTAACTCGTTTAAATAGTGGTGACAGTGATTGAAATTATGATGTAAAGATAAAACCGCAACGAAATACTTATAGATGTATTTGAAAAACTAAGAAATATACATCCCGTATCGAATTTTCAAAATAGAAAAAACGTGTATAAATAGTAAAGCTTACAGCTTGTCCGATTCCCCCTGGAAGCATTAAGATCGGTTTTGTGTATGTCATACAATTTATATCCAAAGAACGTGTGCACGTTTTTATAGATTTTATTACATAAAATATAACATATTTACAAAAACTTTTCGCATATGGAGACGGCTATCTATCGATCAGAGCTTGCGTAATTGTATACGAAAGAAACGATAACGTAATTATGAGATAATGTTACGCAATGACAGCGCGAAATCATGATCATGCAACCTTATGTAATCATTAATCTTTGGGGTAAGACCCCAAAAACAAGTATTCTCGTGAACGAGTGTTTAATTATAACAATTAAATGGTGACAAGCATATCCCAAATGAATCAAATATTAAAGATCTAATAGCAAAGGTTTTACAAAAATGAATCAATGTAGTATAAAACAAATGTATATATAATAAAGAGATAAATATATAATGAGAAAAATAGATATGTGTTTGTAATATTGGTATTAACTTAAGATTAAAAAGTGTCACTATCTCTTTCATTTTTCAACAAATATAGGCTCACGTGACATGTGACGCGGGGCAGGCAATTTTGATTTATCGTAGACCTTATCAGTATCAAATTGCCGATATTTCAACCTTGTCTTGCGAGGCCATTTTGATTTGAAACATCTTGAATTTGGTGTCAAAATAAAGCTGGTCACGCCCACTTTCAGAGTTATCAATGAATTATTTACTACGACTACTATATTCATTTAGGAGGCGTGTAAAGTTAACCAATCAGAAAGACAATTGTTCCATATATGGCAGTCCATTAACATATTCAGTGTTTACTACTGCTTTTCGCGTCATGACAACACGAGTAGTAACCAATCAAGATGCCGTATTTTATCACGCCAGTTCAGAGTGACATGCACACGGCATGTAGTCTGAGCTGATCGCGATGTTGAACTAATTTCTTCTCAGAATTTGTCCAGAGAAATCAGCGATTCTAAATTAAGGTAGGATCTGTCATTTATTCCTGTACAAGTTATAACTAATCTTTATCGAATCCTAAAGTTTTGGCTGCAGATATGAAGCATACGTTTTAAAACGAAGCGATTAATTTGACGATCTGATTTTGCAATTGCAATGGCCAATTTACTGCAAGTCTGCGTGCATTTGACAAGAGATAGCGCCAAGTCTTGTATCTAAATGTTTGTTAAGCCACTATAAAACATGATCCATATTTTCTAAATTTGATAACTTTGCAGAAAACCTGTTTTCATAACCTGTTTTCCGCGTCTAAATTCAAACTGAGTAGGATAATAGGATCGCTGGGATCCTCAGTCAACAACGGATCTTCATTCCAGAACTCACATTTTTAGTTGATTCTCCGTCATAGTATTTGTCTAAAGTCCCCATATCTGCTCTCTTACTGGCATACTTGGACACATTTTCCCTCCTTAAATATTGTCCTCAGTCAAATTACACCCTCTTGCCGATTTATATAGCCATTCCCCAGAACGGTCGAGAACCAGAATCGCTGATGTTTGCCATATTAAAATATGTACTGTAATATCTGTAATACTGGACATTGCCTGCTACGCGTAATGGTCACGTGACTAGCGCGATACAGGAAAAATGGGGAATTTCAAAACAACAATTTTTGGGCACTTTTATCGCAAATTTCAGGTATTTATAAGTGTTTGTGGTATAAAATATAATCCACAGACATAAATGAACATCCAAACTACATATTTTATTAAGTGTTGGAGCCTTTTTTGCTCTTAAATTAACATCTTTAATAAACACGCTTCACATTTTTTGCCTTAATATCAAAATGTTTCTGTTCCAATGCTGTAATTTTAAGTCATTGTCTAAATCGCACAGAAATCCTCACAATGTTCAGTCATAAAATGTTGAAGTATTACTTTATGTTTGTTTCTATTACAGCCAACAATTTTAAAAATCACGTCCAAAGTATTTTTTAAAACCCCATTTCTTACCCTTTGGAACGATACTCCCTATTAATATTCCACTCGTTGAGACCTAATCAATTTGAACTAACAAGGGGATATGAACATATCAGCTTAAATCGTTTAATATTTTGGTTGGTACTATACATCATATATGTTGATCACATATACATTGATTCTATAAACATTGTCATGTAGCAACACCAGTACATATGTGAATGTCTTCTAAACCTATAATTAATCTAGTCACGTAAATATAAAAGAAACAAACATTTTACAAAGAACATCGGGTTCAATGTACATGTACATATTGTTTATTTTTTTCTCAAGTGTAAGAAATGTTTATTATCTTCTGATATTATTTTCTAGTATTATTTTGTTATTTCTCGTTTTGAAGTCATTCCCCTGCTAGAATGTATTGTTGCAAATCGATCACCATTCATGTTGCATGTAAATACATGCCTATTAACCATCAACCCATGTTGACAGCATTTAAAAAGTATTTTTACAATACTCCATTGATAAAATGTATAAAACGACTCCGCATGTTCGCCAATATTTATAGGTAGACGCACAATTAGACAAATGAACAAACCAGTATATTACATTTTGTATTCGATTATTTAACCATCACTGCACTGTTGACGTGACATTCTAAGAAAGTAAAACAGTAATTGTTAAACTCTGCTGGTCATGGAAACAAAAAATACAAACAGTTAATAATTCCAATACCTTTTCACTTACTTAATGTGAACTTTGACCCCAAAAGGAGACATATTTTCAATAAAAATATATTTGGTTGTATTCGTCGAGACTTCGGTTAGAATATTGAGGACGTGTGCAAATTTGCGGAGCTAAAACCTTAGAAACAGAAAAGCATTACTCAAATACAGAAATAACATTTAATGATCACGATGGGAGGAATAACTAAATACCACATTCTTGTTTTTAGGAGTTATTTACTCCTCGCAATGTACAGTATGGCTTACATGGGTATGATCTTTTTTATTTTCTGTTTCTCTTATGTAATTTTTTATTGATCATGCTTAGATGTTTAAAAAACAAGATATCAAAAAATGCTTTTTTAGAATCAAAGTGTCAGAAATTTCTAATTTATTGGAATACTACATCATTAGATACATGTTTGTGATTAGTCAGGGCATTAGATATCCATGGGATGGGTTGTCTCGGAGATGAGCTGTTTAGGGATGAGTTGTCCATAAGCCATTCATAATACATACATATTATCTTCATACATGTTTCGGTTTGATGTATGCGTGAACATGGCTCCCCTTTAATTCTAATACATATAATCGTATGAGGTTCGAAACAGATTGGGATAATCTGAATTACAGGTATCGAACATCATCCTAGTTTTTACAGACATATTGAACTATAGATATAAAGAAATAATGCACTTTTCATAATGATTTGATATTCAATGATCATTTATCAATCATGGCACTGAAATGCTTTCGCATACATTTGGATAAGATTTACGCAGATGTCAATGATATAAATATCTGGATTTGTATATGTTTTCGACTACTGTGAATGATCTTGTTTTGTTTTTATCTCAATCGTTCAACCTGTTCTGCGTTGGTGTTGATCTACACTGTTGTTAATAAGCACGCGACATTTCCAATTTACCAATACTTTCTTCAATGTCAATGTTCTATCAAAATGATAAACAACTTAGGTTTTTAACTCATCTGGTAAGTTAGTGTTTTCTTGAGAATAGGTTAGTATTTTTTGAAGCCCTGCATTTCGAGGATGGCCCTTCAGTGTTGATCGTTGAAACATCTTGCTTTAAATTCAGGGGGAACAACAGCACAAATAACAACAGAAAGAACAACCGAAGGAACAATAGAGACAACGACAGAAACGAGTACAGCAGCAACGGTAGCGGAAACAACCGAAGCAACAACAGAAGCAACAACAAAGGCAACTACAGATGGGACAACAGAGGGTCCTACTCAAGCGCAAATATTATCAACATCAAAAACAGGTAATTCTGATGATTCTGAATAATATGAGATATTTGATTTATGATTCTACTTTTTTGCGAATGCTGCATATACATGGAAATGAGTCAGATAATAATTTTTTGTTTTCAGAGAGTTATGAGTCGTAAGTCCTATGGGACACTTCAAGTTGCAATCAAATATATTGGTTAGAAGTAATATTCCTAACTTATCATATGGAGTAATTTTACATATTTTGTGGATAACAAACCCAATACATATATAGTATAACACTTCCAATGGAGTTTAGAGCTGTTCAACATAATAAGGATGTAATTGTGTTAGACCATTAGATTAAGATCAGTCTTTATTGGAATGCTCAAAGAACATTGTTGATGGGAAACAATATTGAATCAAAGGTCGTGGACATGGTTTAAAATATTCATAGAAATGAATGTAAAAATAATATAATAAACATAATGTCTTTTCAGAAAAATATGGGCCGTTTACTGTAAGTCCTTTACATTATCCAGATCTGTATGTAAATGTACACATAAACAATGGCCAGTCGTCTGGTTCTCTCGTGTTACAGAACACAACACAATCTGTCATTTACTTTTATTCCCCTCCAATTGGATTAAACGAGACAGAATGCAGACAAATCACATTGGAGATCGTCGACATTGTTAACAATAAAGTTATGTACTTGGAATACACAAATCTTGACGACGTCTACACATTACCTTACGAGGATCTAAATTTCAATCAAGCTGCGTTGACACTGCAGTTTTACAATGATAATGTGGTCTTGTCCTCTTCATATAATCTTGCATTGGGTTTTGAGGACTATGTAGTGTTCAACGAATCGTATGATAATACTCTGACTTACTTCCACAAAACACCAGATTCTAACATTACAATGATGTATTCTATGAACCAGTTTGAGTTCAGAACAACTGGTAAGTAATCCACTATCAACGGGAAGAACATGGTTTAATTCATCATACTTTTATAATTGTTATATTACAATAGACACAAATAGCTCATGTATTATCGGGGTGCTTGTATTTTATTTCTTGTTAATTGTCTGAATAAATTAAATTAATGGACGCCCCGTTTCATTATCGGGCAGCAGGAAAATGGCTTGATTCATCATACTTTTATAATTGTGTTATATTACAATAGACACAAATAGCTCAGGTATTACCGGGGTGCTTGTATTTTATTTCTTGGTAATTGTCTAAATAGATTAAATAAGTGGACGCCATAGTTCTTTGCTTATGAGTTTGATCTTTATCGAACATAAAACCGGAGCCCTCATTTTTCTCGGAAAGTAAAATTGGAAACATTGAAATGTTGTAATGATTGACAAAGAAAGTCAGATTTTGTCCTTTAAATGCCTTTAAACTGTTTATTGTTTGTATATAAGTTATGTATGGTCGTCTCTTTTATCTTGTTTTGTTTGGACCTTCAGGTTAGACATAAGTAGACCTGGACGTATTTTTTTACAACCGTACATCAAGATGGACTTAAGTCTTATGAACTGGTGTTATTTTGCAGGTGACGCCAATACTATCTTAAAATGCCCTCCATTCTCTACGTTGATCGATGATTATTGCTATGGATACATGTACCATTACAAAACATATGAAGATGCATTTAGTTACTGCAATAATCACAATGGAAGCGTTGCCCTTCTAAATGACTACATTTTAAAACAATTGGCTGATTCTAAAATGTAAGTAAAGGAATACTTTCTTAAAATATTTTTAAATATAGGATGTATAGAATAAATCGAAATATTGCAAAACTAAATCATTTTATTTATATATTGTTTTTTGCAATTTGAAGATCTAAATCATATAACGCCAAGCAAGTGCCCCGTATACGGTTCATGCTAAACGTTTCTTAACCCGTAACAATAGACATGCATTTAGAAGAGGCTATGATATTTAGTGACCTGCATTATAATTAAAGAAATTTAATCGGATAATAGCTTTGTATAATCTGAAAACCACAAACAAGCAGTTCAATTGGCAATATTGGATGTTAAGGGTATCGTCATTCAAATACTCTTAAAAATCCAATAGTTCAAACATTCTTTAAGATTAAGGCATGTTTACCTTTCAGTATAAGTGATTGGCAGATGGATGATGGTTATCAGATCTGGACAGGAGTGATTTCTAAAAACACAACATTGCAACTAGCTAACGGGAGTGTTGTTGCTCACAATGACCTTGTGGCATATATGAATATATCCCATAATTTGACAATTGTTAGCGATTCTTGCTACACAATAGAAACTGGCAACAGCTTTACATTGGTGCCGAGAAATTGTGATGATGAATTCTTCTACGTTTGTAGAATAGAGAAAGGTAACTCCTTACTTTTCCCTTTTGGAAATGTTATGTTCTTTTTTATATTTTGTCAAGGAAGTGTGAATTTCTCAATCCCAAAATGCCTACATATTATTAAAATTGCAAAGGTATTATATTTGAGTCATATATCTGTTACTTTTAGGCTACTATGACGACATTTGGAGTCTGGGTATTACCGATTGGGCAGCTGGCACAAAAGGAAAATGTTCTGCACCGAACGCAAAACCTGTGGCAGTTGGAAAAGGTGAAATATTATCTAAATATATTTTTGAAAACGAAAGTATGATCCCTTAGAAAAATACATAGACTCCTAAAAAACAGGACAGTCAGTATAAAGAAATAAAGATGATATGACAAAACTGTATATTTATATTTTCAGAAAGATATGGTCCATATACTGTTAGTCCTTTACATTATCCAAATCTGTATGTCAATTTGCACATAGGACCTGGACAGTCTTCTGGTTCTCTCTTGCTGCGAAACACCGCACAGACTGTCGTTTATTTCTATTCTCCTCCAATTGGCTTAACCAATACAGGATGTCGACAAATGACTTTGGAGGTTGTTGACACCGTATACAATACTGCAGCGTACCTTGAATATTCTAGTACAGCCAATGGTCTGGTTTCAACGAAATATTACGAGGACATGGACTTCGAACGTGCTGCCTTCAAACTAAAATTCACAAACGGGAACGCGGTATTGGCCTCATCATACGGCCTACCTCTAGGTTTTCAGGATTATATTGTATTCAACGAGTCTTACGGCGATGCTCTGATCTACTTCAATAAAACACCAGACACAAACATGTCCTTTTTGCATTCGATGAGCGAGTTTGAGTTTAAGACAACCGGTAAATAACCTTATAAACCATCCCTTCAGTCACATTTTCATCACAATTGGAATGTTAAATATAACTTATAGTAAAAACTATTTCTGTTTATCGGCTCAATTATCGGAAATGTCAAAACATGTCTTCGTGAAATAATGATAAGGTACTGGTGGAACGAAAACGTTTTTGAAAAATGTCTGTACCTGGAAACGATTGTGTCAGGTTCAAAATGAAGTATAAAGGCAAGTTTGCATCGTCTTGCTTTTTTAGGGAAGTGTCATTACATTGCCGTCAATAATTAAATCTGGTAAAGATATTTTCATTCCACCAGTACCTTTATATAGGAATAATCGAATCAAATGAGATTGTACCAAAGAAAACCCACAAATTCTCAATTGTTTATTTAATTTACAGGGGACGCAAATACGGTTTTAAAATGCCCTCCATTCTCGGTGCCCATCGATGATTTCTGCTACGGATACATGCTTCACTGCAAAACGTATCAAGATGCGTTCGAATACTGCGACGATCACGACGGATCACTTGCTCTTTTGAATAACCACATATTGAAAGAGATGGCTGCGTCTAAGATGTAACTGGACATTCTTTTTTGTTGCGTAATCAATTTTAGAAATAAGGTTAAACGCTTTAATATTTTTCGGAATTGTTTGCATCGTAGTCAGTTCCGTTCCGCAATCCCATTCCTATTGCCTTTCTATTAATTTTGAAATGGCACTAAATGAACTACATTTTAAATTTAGACTCACTTACTTTTCAGTGTAACAAACTGGCAGGTCAGTTATGATCACATCTGGTCGGGTGTTGTTAGCGTAAATTCGATACTTCAACTGGCTAACGGGACTGAAATATCAGAAAACGACCTCCTTGATTACATGAACACATCCCAGCCTTTGACTATTGTAGATGGTTCTTGCTACACAATAGAATTCGGCAATAGCTTAACATTAGTGCCAAGAGCCTGTAATGAAAGTTATTTCTTCGTATGTAAAATGGAGAGAGGTAATGTCATAGTCTACATTTGTATATTATGTAAATCGTAGTGTTTATTTCATGCCTGAACATATAAACAAGAATGAATTGCTGGCATTCTAACGTCGACATAGGCAAGAAATGGTGCTTTCTAAAATGTTCCATAAATCAACATGTTATAATGAAACACATTTTGCTTATAGGTTTATTTGACGATATATCTAGTCTTAGTATGTCAAATTGGGCAGATTGTACTATTGTCAACTGCAAAGTGCCAACAGTAGAACCAGTAGCAACAACAGAGGCAATAACAACAGAAGCAACAACAAAAGCAAAAACAACGGAAGCAACAACGGAAGTTACAACAGAAGGAACAACAGAAGTAATAACAACAGAAGCTACAACAGAAGGAACAACAGAAGTAATAACAACAGAAGCTACAACAGAAGGAACAACAGAAGTAATAACAACAGAAGCTACAACAGAAGGAACAACAGGAGTAATAACAACAGAAGCTACAACAGAAGGAACAACAGAAGTAATAACAACAGAAGCTACAACAGAAGGAACAACAGAGGCAATAACAACAGAGGCTACAACAGAAGGAACAACAGAGGCAATAACAACAGAAGCTACAACAGAAGGAACAACAGAAGTAATAACAACAGAAGCTACAACAGAAGGAACAACAGAGGCAATAACGACACAAGCAACAACAGAAGGAGCAACAGAAGCAATAACAACTGAAGTAATAACAACAGAAGCAACAACGAAAGCAACAACGGAAGCTACAACAGAAGCAATAACAACAGAAGCAATATCAACAGAAGCAACGACAGAAGCTATAACAACAGAAGCTACAACAGAAGGATTAACAGAAGTAATAACAACAGAAGCTACAACAGAAGGAACAACAGAAGTAATAACAACAGAAGCTACAACAGAAGCTACAACAGAAGTAATAACAACAGAAGCTACAACAGGAGGAACAACAGAAGTAATAACAACAGAAGCTACAACAGAAGGAGCAACAGAAGTAATAACAACAGAAGCTACAACAGAAGGAACAACAGAGGCAATAACAACAGAGGCTACAACAGAAGGAACAACAGAAGTAATAACAACAGAAGCTACAACAGAAGGAACAACAGAAGTAATAACAACAGAAGCTACAACAGAAGGAACAACAGAAGTAATAACAACAGAAGCTACAACAGAAGGAACAACAGAAGTAATAGCAACAGAAGCTACAACAGAAGGAACAACAGAGGCAATAACAACAGAGGCTACAACAGAAGGAACAACAGAAGTTATAACAACAGAAGCTACAACAGAAGGAACAACAGAAGTAATAACAACAGAAGCTACAACAGAAGGAACAACAGAGGCAATAACAACAGAGGCTACAACAGAAGGAACAACAGAAGTAATAACAACAGAAGCTACAACAGAAGGAACAACAGAAGTAATAACAACAGAAGCTACAACAGAAGGAACAACAGAAGTAATAACAACAGAAGCTACAACAGAAGGAACAACAGAAGTAATAACAACAGAGGCTACAACAGAAGGAACAACAGAAGTAATAACAACAGAAGTAATAACAACAGAAGCTACAACAGAAGGAACAACAGAGGCAATAACGACACAAGCAACAACAGAAGGAGCAACAGAAGCAATAACAACTGAAGTAATAACAACAGAAGAAACAACTAAAGCAACAACGGAAGCTACAACAGAAGCAATAACAACAGAAGCAATATCAACAGAAGCAACGACAGAAGCTATAACAACAGAAGCAACAACAACAGTTAAAGAAACAACAAAAGAAACAACTGAGGAAGCAACATCAAAACCAGCAACAGAATTAACGACAACTGAAATATTATCAACAGAAGCAACGACACTGGGTATGTTTGAATTTTATATATTTATGATTTAGGATCTACCACATGCGTATTTTATTTCTTTTTTAAAGAACGCTTTTGTCTGTTTAATTTTTTATAATACAAAGTCACATTTCTTTTTACTTGCCCGATTACTCCTATAGTATGTTTCTCTGTTACGCATGTTTCTCAATGTTGGAGACTACATATTAAAGCCAGAATTAGATCTTGCAATTACTTCGGTTACTTTGGCGAGAATCGTTCATTTTTAATATGCTGGGCTCATATCATTTCTTGTCATGTCTATTTTCTAAAAAAAAGTACCCGTATATACTTCGATTGAGGAAAACTAAAGATTTTCACAATAATGCAATCATTTGTTAATAAGAATGGTTGCCATTTTTATTATAGGGGAGAATTTAAATATTTCCCCGCCATTTTAGCACTATGGATATTTAATAATTTGATAGCGGTTCTTTTGGGAGATATTATTTGACCTCGTAAGGATCATATTGATAGATTAATTGTACATATTGCTTGCACTTTTGCCACTCAACAATACCAACATTTCAAAAATGTACACTCCCTAGTTCAAATTGACCTTAATTTGACCTACTTTTTAAAAAAAACTTTCCGAAGAGGTATTTAAATTAGGTTTACAACAATATCAACAATAATGAAGTCAGACAATTCTGCATCAATGAAATCGCCTTGCGACCTTTTGTTTCCAAAAGGTTGCAGACATTAGCCCTTAGCATATTGGAAAGATAATTTTAAATTAGCAAAATATCAAACCGAGCAATAATTATCACTGTACAGTTTCTAAAATATTAAAAAAGTTAACGATATATATTTTTATGAATTTCAATTTATTTGCATCAAGTTGCACCTATCATAACTTCACCCCTCTCCTCCAATCACTTTGATTTTATTCCAAAAGTGTTATATCCGAGGCTCTAGCTAGAAGGAATAACGGAAAACATGAAAAATCAATTCGACCCCTACTGTAGACATTAGGGTTAAGCTATTTCTAGTCGTTTTCTTGTAGTCGTTTTCTTGCACTTATAGTAGTGTTCAATGAGAAAACTCGAAGATATCAAACTTTTACAGAGCGTCATCCAGAATATTTGATCCTTAAAGTCGCTTTATTGACATTGAGTATAAAAGCAAAATATGCCCGTTAATGCAATCAATACATTTCAACTGATATATCCTTCACAATTAAATTGATCATATATGTCTCATACTATCATAATATGATTTCATCTTCTATTAATTGATCATTGATTGGTTAAATTTGTAAGAAAATACAATACACATTCATTGCATTGTTTTATATGTGTTGACTTGAATATTGAAAGCAAAGGAGGAGGGAACGTATCACAACGTATTTTGGACATTCATATGTTGGATTCAAAACGCAACACATTGATGCAACAAAAATTGAAAAAGCAGGGGTAAGAGGCGTTGAAAATCAGGACAAAATTTCAGAAAAACACGTTGGTGGGTTGTTTGCATCTTCCCTGTCTCAAAGTCGAAATTATTTTATCATCTCTATGAGTGCTTTTCCCGGAGGGAAATATTTTGGGACCAGGCATACATTGACGGAATACGCGATTACTCTAAATCTCCAAATCATAAAGGCAATATTAAAACTTCACTGTTTTCTCAATTTAACACTCTATCTACTAGAAAAATCACAAACATCCCATCATATATGAGAGTAATTCCATAAATAAGAGGTTGGCGTTTTTTTATATAGATGTAGGTAAACCGATGGTTTTATTGGCTCATAGACAGACATGACTGAATTGTTCCTCGATTCCTCGGTATCCTTATTGATCTTTACAATTTATATAAAACGTTAAATGTGATGTTTTCCCCGATATTATCGATGCATTGCATTTTTAAAATGCACCCAATTCAATTTTGCATCTCGATTGTGAATCATTGTTAGACTTTAGGTAGTGTGCTACTATTGAACGTATTCCTTTTCTATATATGTTAATAATTGATATAAACAGTGACACGTGAATATAGTCTCCCCTTTATTTTCAAAAGTTTGAATTCTTATACACGTCTTTATATTTTTCCTTGAGAGTATTAAGTTGTTAGAGAGTATAGCAAGTTTCATTCCAATATCTTACTTATAACTTCATTTTTATCAGTTCTTTTGGAGTAAGTTTGTATGGCCATCCTCTGCGGTTAAAACAACATTTCATGTTGGGTGTTTTTCGGAATATTTTCCAACAGTTCCGTTACATTTGTAGAGCAACACAAGGTATTCTTACTATTGCAAATTAGTAGGGTTTCTTTTGATAAATCTCTTTAGAAAATCCAACTATATGAAATTAACTCCATTGAGGTCTGGGCTATTTGTGAGGTGTTTTTGCTGAAAATCAACATATGATGATTTTAACAGCTGCTGTGTCAAGAACCTTCCAACCAAGTTTAACAAATACTGTTGTCAAATAAAGCAGATTGAACTTATATCGGTTGTTTAACTTAATTATGCAAACTTAATTTTCCAAGCTAAGTCTTACACCTCAACAAGGTTTAGTTTGGTACATAACATGATGGGTAACACGTCTATAGATTAAAGAAAAGAGAGAACATATTAATTTGACACTATGTAAAATGTTTTAGATAATAGTAGTGGAAATAACAGGTCTGAAAACGCAGTACTGAGTGATAAAACATAAAATTGACAGTCCGTGTGTTACCCACTGTGATACCTTTACTTTTTGACTGCATCTAAAAAGTATTTTTCTGACAATGCTTTATTGATAACATGTAAAAGACGACTCAGCGTGTCTCCAAATACTAATAGATTTTTGAACCACTACTAGTGTATAATTCAATTGAATTAACCAATATATATTGTAATGATTACGTTTGGTATTCGATTATTTAACAATTACTGCGCTGGTGACGTGACATTCCAAGAAAATAAAAAAGCCATTGTTTAACGATGTTGGGCATGGATACTGACATAGACATGTATTATATAATTCCAATTCCATTTTCAACAAAAAATGAACTTTAACCTTTAAAGGAGACTTATCCGGTTGTATGTTTCGAGATTTCGGCTAGAATATTGTAGGACGTGTGTACTATTACGGAGCCAAGTTGCAGTATATATTCGTGGGAACTGAATAGCGATATTTGAATTCATTATTACCGTTTGATGATCACGATGGGAGGAATAACTAAAAATCAAGTTCTTAATTTGAGGAGCTGTTTATTCATTTTGATGTGCAATATTGCTTGTATGGGTATGATATTTATATTCTTATTAATATGTATTAATATCTGTGTTGGCTTTCCTGTCTATTTTGCTGTTTATTCATGTATTATGATTAATATAAACAAACTGTGTTATCACACATAATTACATTTATCACACTTGGGATTTAAGGAAACAAGATACCATATAGTACATCATACCAAACAGAATCACGATACAAATTATGTTTTTTTTTATTTCTTATGAAACTTCAGACGAAATATCTGATTCATTGGAGAACTACATCATTAGATACAGTTAGTTGTTAACATTTGAGGTGGCATTGATATCACAGAAAAATGTATTTTTATTTCTTCAATCAACTAGGAAGTATTGGATATTCTTAAACCTCCCAGTAAATAACCCTTATGTATACCTTATCACGGCAGTTATAAAAATGGTACACCCGATACCTTTTTTTTCTTTTTTCTTTTTTCTTTTTCTTTTAAAGTGTTACCAGTACCAAAATTATTTGTAAGCTTTTGTAACGCGTTTTAATTAGAAATGCAACGTTTCAATTTTCATATCCTGACATGTTTTGAATCAAAAATTACGCTGGGTATTTTTTCATTAATTTTCATTTTTAAAGCGTGTTTTCATCTTTATTTTGATATGAAAAGTATAGTTCATCTGTTTGTTTTATTGTAAACGGGGCAATATGCCACTTAAGTCATAGAGAATTCACAAACAAAACTGTTTCATGTCATGACGTAATGTTAAAACAATACTGAAAGCGAGTAGCTATTACCTTTTATGAGTTCTATGTCGTTATACTTCATATATCGCAAATCTGCGCCATTGACATTTGTCAAACGTGAAGTTAACAAGCACGTTTTTCCAAGATGTTTATTTTCTGTTTCTGATATGGGAAAATATTTCACAATCGCCGTAAGGTTTATAGTATGGAACATCTTTAATAATTTTCTATCTGAGTGGTTAAAACCCAATGAGCTGATTATCCCTATACTATTATGAAACAATTCCATAACGTTTTGATTCAACGATAATTGACCAATCTTGAAACAGAAATAATCAAACAAAACATTTTAATATAGAAAAATTGCTATTGAATAATATGAATATCTGAATATGTAGATTAACAGTATATTTCATTCCCAAGAATAAATAAGTGAATCCAATGATTTTTAGAATATTCTGGTAGGAGAATGTAATCTTGATAATATGTCGTTTTAGGAATAATTAAGAAGCCCTGTGTTTCGATGAAGTCTCCTCACAGTTGATCATTAAAACATCTAGATTGTTATTTAGGTGGAACGACAGAAGCAACAACTGAAGGAACGACAGAAGCAACAACAGAAACGACAACAGAAAACCCAACAGATGGAACGACCGAAGCGCAAGTATTATCAACAACAACAACATCAGGTAAATATATGATAATTGTTTGGGAATGCTGAAAGAACACTGTTGATGAAGTGGTGTCGGATCATAACAACGCATATAACATACATAGAAATGAATCCGATAATCATATGGTTATAGATATTATGTTGTCGGAGAGGTCATTTTTTAAATATTAAATTTTTAAAGGGGGTTGTTCTCATAACAATGAAAGCATGAATAAGAGAGAAGCAATTGTAAACATATATTTTCAATTGAAACTGTCACGATAGAATCATTGCATATTACCTTCAAATTAAATTTTGCCTTTTCTAACTTACATCTCAAAATGAATAATGTTGAACAAATACGACATATACAGCGTATAACATTTATTCTTATGATGGTAAGCATTTAGAGTGTTCTTACATAAAAAAGTAAAGCCTAGCGAACTTTCTCTTTTCAGAGAAATATGGTCCATACATTGTTAGTCCTTTCTTGTTTCCCGATTTGTATCTCAACCTACACGTCGATGAAGGGGAATCATATGGTAAACTCGTCTTACGGAACATATCACAGTCTGTCATATATATCCACTCACCATGTATCGAGTTTGAAAACCAAGGCAGTAAGATATCTGTTGAGGTTGTCAATACTATCGATAATGTCACTATGTACTTGGAACATTTTAATACATCACACGAATTTGCCTATGCGAAATATTACAATGATTTGGATTTCTACCATGCTGCATTAAAACTACACTACAGTGGAGATGTGGTGTTAAGCGCCCTAAATGGTCTGGATCCTGGGTTTGAGGATGTTTTAATATATAACAACTCGTATGAAGCCTTGACCTACTTTTATAAACCTCCTGGCAGTAATCCGACATCCATATCTGACATAAAGAAGTTTGAGTTCATAACAACGGGTAAAATTTATGAAGATTTACTCAAGTAGTGCTATCTAAATAAAACAATTAATTTAACAAGTTGGCAAATTCGAATATTGCATCTATTTATGAACCGTTTTGTAATTTTAACCATTGGTACAGTGTATATTCTACACGCTGTCTGAGAATTCATTATACGTGACATCAAATATAAATTGAGAGAATGTTTGGTTTATAGGTGACGCCAATACCGTGTTAAAGTGTCCTCCAATCTCCACAAAGATCGGTGATTTTTGTTATGGATACATGGTTCACTGCCGAACATTCGAGGAAGCCTTCAAACATTGTGATGACCACAATTCAACACTAGCTCCTCTTAATGAATATATTTTACAACAGTTGTCAGATTCTAGAAGGTAATTAAATTTGTTTAATTTAACTAATACAGATGGATGTTATAGGAATATCCTATGGTTTTGAAAAATATCATTTATATACATGAGTGGAAACTCACTCGTGAAGAAATTTATATCCATGAGTTGGTATAATTGGTATTTTTGAAAAATTATAGGATTGTCCGTTTATACTATGGGAAATCATTAACAACCATCATATAACTGCGGTCTTAAATGGATCGATTTATATACAAACTTATTGTCTGATGCAGAAAAGAAAAATACAGATTATACTCACCATATGAGCATTGCGGAGTATCAATGCAAGTTGAAATTCATAGCATTCCTAAAAGAGCATGGGTTCAACTCAGAAATCTTAGACAATGCCTCTAAAAATAGATATGATACAAACAAATAATATGTTGTTAGCCATTCTGTGATCTTCAAATAAAGCCATGTATTGGCAAATCTTGGGATTTGTTAGCAGGAAATACGATATGAGTTCTCAATAACTATCGCAGGTGCTAACTAACCGTCCAATTTACTAATTAATCTCATACTGAGATCAACACTAATTTCCATGCCAAGTATAATTCATGTATGATCTTTGAGGGGTTTTACAGTATAGGAAGTTGGCAACTGAAAGACGGTTCTCAGATTTGGTCGGGAGTTGTTGGGATAAACGGGACATTCCAATCAGCTAACGGGACTATCATTGTAGAAAGTGACCTTGTGGACTACATGAACACAACCCAAAATTTGACTGTTTTAAATGGATCTTGTTATACAATAGAAATGGGTAATAGCTTTACATTAGTACCAAGGGCGTGTGGCGAGAAGTATTACTACGTCTGCAAAATAGAAAGAGGTAAATAATCGGTTTAACACGTATATCAAAAAGTATAGTAGCCAAAAGTCAAAGTTTATAATTGAAAGATGATTTTAAATAACCCGTTTAATTTTAATATCGATAGTCACAAGGGAGCGATTTTGATATACTACTCTCCAATGGTAAATAAAGATAATGCATTTAACTGAATGATTACCTGCACTTTTTAGGGTTCTATGATGATATTTCAAGTTTTAGTATAACGAATTGGAGAGAGGGTTCTAAGGGAACCTGTACAAAACAAATAGAAACAACGACTGAAACGCCAATGACAGCAGGTTAAAATGATTCTAATCTATTTCAATCTTTGGAACTCCAATCCTGTATAGATCCTGACGCCTGAATAAGTACAGGATATGTACATTATGTGCCAATCCTGTATGTATCCAGGCATCAGGATTCATACAGGATTGGCACAGTGCGAGCGTATCCTGTATGAATCCAGATGCAGGATTCATACTGGATTCCTACACGCGCCAATCCTGTATAAATCCTGACACAGGATATGTACATTCGGTGCAACTCCTGTGTGTATCCAGGCGTCAGGATTCATACAGGTTTGGCTGGGTGCATATCCTGTATGTATCCTGACGTCAGGATTCGTTGTATTCGTACACATTTTTTGATGTGTAAATGAACATCCTTGATAGAAAAACAGTATAATATAATATGTCCCACACAATGTTTAAAAGATATATAGATATTAATCTGAAAATAAAAATATTTGATAGCAAAACTTAATAGTTATTCAATAATGATTTTGATTCCTAGAGACATACATTAAAAAGAAATAAGAATGTAATGATGATATATATATTTCTGTTTTCAGAAAGATATGGTCCGTATACTGTTAGTCCTCTATATTATCCAGATCTGTATATCAATTTACATATAGGCCATGGCCTTTCATCTGGTTCTCTTGTATTAAAAAACACAACGCAAACTGTCATTTACTTCTATTCGCCACCAATTGGGTTAACCGAGACAGAATGCAGACAAATCACATTGGAGATAATCGACACTGTTAACAATAAAGCAATGTACTTGGAATATACTAACAGTGATGACGTCTACACAATACCTTATGAGGATCTGAATGTCACACAAGCTGCGTTGACACTACGGTTTTACAATGGCAATGTGATCTTGTCTTCCTCGTCTGATCTTAGTATTGAGAATTATGTTGTGTTTAATGACTCATATAATAATTCTCTTACCTACTTCAACAAAACACCGGATTCTAACATAACAATGATGTATTCGATGAACCAGTTTGAGTTCAGAACAACTGGTAAGTAATCCACTATTAACAGGAAGAACATGGATTAATTCATCATACTTTAAAATGATGTTCTCTAATATAAGATATGGACCACCCGGGTATTATCCGGCTACTTGTACTTGAGTTCTTTGTCATTTTCCAAATAGGTTAAATTAGTCGACGCCCTTGTTCTATGCTCATGTGTTCTGAACATTTTTAGCCTAAAATCTTCAGATATTTTTTCTAGTAAATAAGATTAGAATCATTGAAAGGGATACTTCCAATATTTTACTTTTGCTAGGCCTCCTTTTCTGAAATGAATAGTTAAGGACGTGAATGTTTATGCAATGTATATATTGACTTTTCAATATGATTTTAAAATAATTTCATTTACTATTGAGCCTCGCAACAACAATGAAAAATATAGTTGATATATCACTTAAGATGGAAAAAACATAGATTATGTCGCTACAGGAAAAGTGATCTTATCATAGATGTTCTGATTTTTTGTTTATCTTAAAAAACACAAAGATACGTTTCAAATGAGACATGGCTCATGGCTCAACAATTTTTCATTACATATGTACACCAAAGAAATCGGATTGGAATTTAGCACATTTCATCTTAATCCAGGCTCACTTTTTTAAGATATTTCTTATTTGATCCAATGTTTTATCTTTGTTTTTGTTTGTTTTGACCTGTGATATATACAGGGTGTCCCAGAACTCATGAGGATTTTTTGAGGGAGATATAAGGCATGAATGATTTTCCTTCAAATTAAATGCACTGACAAACATTGAGGAATAACTGACATGAATTTCAGGCACATATCTTTTATATTTCCGAATTTATTGACATTTGAATTCTATATCGCCACAAACCCTTGAGTAGTTGGAGAAATACAACAATTTACGTCACATTTTGATAATATTTACACAACTTCTCTACTCTAAAAAGCATTGTTTTCATTGAATTATTTCAATGTTTCAGTACATTAGTTTATAGGATCATACACATTCATCTAACGTATCTCTACAGAGTTATTATGGCATATTATCTGCATTTGATGTCGTCTTTTCAGCTACTCTTTATACATATTCCCAAATTGTCCAATAGCCATTTCTGTAGGGTCCTATGGAACAACATGACTCAATTCTTCCTCCGTTTCAGTGACATGGCTCACTAATCTTTGTTTAAGGTACCCAATGAAATCAAAAGTCTAGTAGAGCAAAATCTGGCAAGTATATGGAGCTACTATATACTGTGAAGTCTCAATAGAAAGTAAATTGGATGCACTACTGACATGCATGTAGTGACTTATTCACTGGTGCATTGTCAATATGCAAGATCATATTGGCTAGCAAATGGGGACATTTCTTTCAGTCCCTCAGGAACATATCATTATGATCTTTCAGCAAACCAAATGTACAATCTGTTGATGTATTGGGTCTCTATCAAAGTTTATTTATCATTTTATCAAAGTGCATCATCAATATGAGAAAAATGCTAAACTAAGCTTATACAAAAAAACGTTGGTTTTATAGTTGAAAATTTGTATAAAATTGACAAAATGAGACATAAACTGTTGTATTTTCCCCATAATTTTGTGGCGATGTAGAATTCAAATGTCAATATATTCGGAAATATAAAAGATATGTGGCTGAAATTCGTGTCAGTTACTCCCCAAAGTGTTTTAAATAATTGTGCTAAATTTGAAGAAAAATCACTCATGCCTTCTCTCTCCCTCAAAATTTCTTATGAGTTCTGGGACACCCTGTAAGTATAGACTCAAAGTACTGTTTGACTAACTTACAATCGTAAATCAAGATTGACAATTGTCTTATTGACTAATTCTTCCACAGGTGACGCAAATACTATTTTAAAATGCCCTCCATTCTCTACGTTGATCGATGATTATTGCTATGGATACATGTACAATTACAAAACGTATGAAGATGCATTCAGTTACTGTGACGATCACAATGGAAGCGTTGCCCTTCTAAATGACTACATTTTAAAACAATTGGCTGACTCTAAAATGTAAGTAAATTAATATTTTTTATTAGAAGAGTGTTTATTGCAATTTGAGGATCTTAACCATATTAAGGAAATGCATTGATATATGCCATCGTAATTTTATTAAAAATCGACCTTTAACGGTATACACTTTTACTGTTTAGGGTGCGTCAAACTTGTACATACTGAAACTAGATGCAACCGGCTTGAGAACACAATTTTAAAAATCGAAATAAATCGTGTGAACTAAAATTGTATGTAAGCAATTATGCAAATACTTCTAACGTGTCAAAGGTATTCAGAATTGATTAATACTTTTCTTTATCCTCCATTGATTGTGTTGATACAAGTTAGAGGGGTTGACTCTTGAAAAATAACGTACTTTGCTTGATGTGCGAGGTGGTTCATTGATTACCGATCAATTAATGTATATTGACACATTTGTACTATAGTACCATATTATATATTATCTTACCTTTCATACATTTAAAATATACCAATATCTAAAGGTTAAAAATTATCATACAGCGTGTAAACGAATATAAGCAATAACTCTGGGTCTCCAAATTTTACAGTTTTTAACCAAACTTTCTAGATATTGCAAATATCATCTGGTGTGGGATATTGAGTGAACATACAAAGTATCATGGCTCAGTAATAAGAAAGTTTATACATTCTGATTTTGTAACAAGGTGCTTGACAGAGTAACATCTAACTCGAATAAGGAGGATTTAATCCTAAGCATATCACTTCTGCAAATGATGCAATCACTTAAGTTGTATCATCCTGTTATTTGTCCAGGCCATCCATTCTTTGAAAAGTATATTTACATTTTTAAAAGCTGAATGCAATCGTGATACGTTGCAACCAGGACCCCATTTCTTCAGACCTGTTTTTCAATTTTGGCAACATTCCGACTTAATACTATATCAACTAAATACAAGCTGAAAAGTTAAGTACGTTTTTTTAAATCTGTCAAAATGAGAATTATCGTGTCATTGCTTACAGAACAAAATGTATAACATTTTAATGCCAAACGAAAACCCCTCGAGACGGTCATTACATCATTACACGATAAGCATGTTAAAAATCGTTTAAAAAGACATACATTTAGAAATGACAATATATTAATTGGCCAACCTTGGTCTCGAAGAAAAGCATTCAGATAATATCTTTGTATAGTCAATACCGAACAGTGTATTGACAACTTTCAATTACTCTTAACTCTTAGAGCGCTGATTTGTTTTGGACGTGCATTCCGTGGAGACTGACTTGTTTGGGGATTAATTCCCTTTTTCAAACATGCATTTATAACCTGATCATACCAGAAGTATGATACATATGCATGTATCATATAGATGCAATATGGTAGCTAAGTTACTTAAAAAGCCATGAAAAGGCATTTACGAGTTATGAAGGGGTCATCTAATCCTATACATTGACTCGTCAAAGTTTTTGACTGAGATTTGTCTGAAAATTTTCCAAATATTCTAATAACCATTAACCCACATATCAATGATATTTCCTTCAATTTTAACAGGTTAAAATGCTAGATTTACATCTAATATCACTATTTCACACATTGTGATCGATTTCCTCATATTTGATGAGTATTCTTAAATTTAATCCAAAAAATAAAAATAATTGTACACTTTCGAACTTCCAGTCAATATTTTCGAAATAAAAAGTTTAAAAATATTCATGTTTCATTAATTATTATGTTTATTTAACTTATTTGTAAAAAATATGTTGTATGCATGTTAACGACATCATCGACTATCAAAACCATCACATTTGGAGAAGAAGCGGCAAATCATTTAAGGTAAAAATTTCTGACTTTTTGCAAACAATTTCAACATCATCAAGCAAGTAAACTCATTTGGCTCATCGTCTACATGGAATGTGACGTCAAAGCGAGTTCTCGCTCAGCGCACGTCTAGTGTTAAATATTCAATATTTCGCCAAATCTTTAACATTTAAGAGCTGTTTACTTTCTAGTATAAGTGATTGGCAGATGGAAGCTGGTTATCAGATCTGGACAGGAGTTATTTCGAGAAACACATCATTTAAACTAGCTAACGGGAGTGAAATAGCGAGAAGCGACCTTATGGAATTCATGAATATATCCCAGAATTTGACAACGGATAACGATTCTTGCTACACAATAGAAACTGGCAACAGCTTTACATTGGTGCCGAGAAATTGTGATGATGATTTCTTTTACGTTTGTAGAATAGAGAAAGGTAAGCTTTTACTTTTGTGTAACGTCAAGTTAGTTCATATGGATGATAATTGCATAGGAGTCAACATGTTGAGTCGCGTATAAACATGTACACGTGTCTTATAGGCTATTATGACGACATTTCGAGTCTGGGTATTACCGATTGGGCAGCTGGCACAAGAGGGAAATGTTCTGCGCCGGTTGCCAAACATGTGGCAGTTGGAAAAGGTGAGATGGCCTCTAGTATATGATTTATTTAGGGCTTTCCTTTTGAAAACAAGAAAGAATAGATAATTTGGATTATGAAGAATATTAATTAATTAAGAAGACCAAGAGAAATCATTATAAATATATATAAATGCTATGATAAATGTATACTTATATTTTCAGAAAGATATGGTCCATATATTGTTAGCCCTTTACATCATCCAGATCTATATATTAATTTACACATTGGACATGGACAGTCTTCTGGTTCTCTCTTGTTGCGAAACACCACACAAACTGTCGTTTACTTCTATTCCCCACCTATCGGATTATTATACACAGGATGTAGACGGATGACATTGGAGGTTGTAGACACAGTTTACAATACCGCAGCGTACCTTGAGTATTCTAATATAGCCCATGATGTAGCATCCACGAAATATTACGAGGATCTGGACTTCGATCGAGCTGCCTTCCATGTATCGTTTAATAACGGAAAGGCGATATTGAGCACCTCATATGGCCTACCTCATGGTTTTGAGGATTATGTTGTGTTCAATGAGTCTTACGGTGATGCTATGACCTTCTTCAATAAAACACCAAATACAAACATCCATCTTTTGTATTCCATGTACCAGTTTGAGTTTAAAACAACCGGTAAATTACCATTTAATTTCTTCAATTACATTTTGAGCAAAATTGCAAGGTATGATGTTATATAAAGTAACATGTCTTCGTGTGAAAATATACTTATATGGAAATAATGAAGCTTATTGAACTTAAAATAGAATACACCAAATATAATACACAGATCCTCGACGGTTAAACGTTTAATTTACAGGCGATGCAAATACAATTTTAAAATGCCCTCCATTCTCGGTGCCGATCGATGACTTCTGCTACGGATATATGCTTTTCTGCAAAACTTACCAAGAAGCATTCGAATACTGCGACGATCACAATGGATCACTTGCTCTTCTGAATGACCACATATTGGAAGAAATGGCTGCGTCTAATATGTAATAAGAAACTATTTTTTGGTTTGCATTATCAATTTAAGAAAATAAAGTTAGACTTTGATAATATTTTGCAGTCGTAGACATCGTTATCAGTGCAGTGTACAACGTTCAGTTATCCCATTCCCACTGATTGTCTATTCATTCGGAAATAGCATGGAACCTAAATGAATTTGAGTAATTTAAATGAGCATAGTGCACAATAGATCAAACTACATTGGATATCAACATTTGCTTTACTAATTTTTAGAGTAACAAACTGGCAGCTTGGTTATAAGCAGATTTGGTCGGGAGTTACTTACAAAGACTCGAAACTTCAATTGGCTAACGGGACTGAAATATCAGAAAACGACCTCATGGATTACATGAACACATCCCGGCCTTTGACTATTGTAGATGGTTCTTGCTACACAATACAATTCGGCAATAGCTTAACATTAGTGCCTAGAGCCTGTAATGAAAGTTATTTCTTCGTATGTAAAATGGAAAGAGGTAACATCCTAGTCTACTTATGTACAGTATAATCTTTAATTGACATATTATCTTAGAAACATGGATACTTCAACTGTTCACATAGGCATTAAATATAAGTGCCAAAGGGAAAGGTCAAAAGTTGTAATGGAACTTAGCAAGAAAAAGCAAACTCTAAGTGCATACCAGTTAAGAAAAACAGACCCCATATAGCCCAAAACCATGATCTAACGTGAAAAGAAACAATGGCTAATACCCCTTTCCCCCACCATTCAAGAACCAATATATAAGGGTTATGTACTGGGAGGTTTTGGATATGGGGTTTATCCAGAGGGGGATATGCATATCTACCCGAGGGACCGTAGGGACCGAAGGTAGATGTGCATATCTCACGAGGGATGAACCCAATATCCAAACCGACCGTACATAACTGCTTTATCCTATACCAAGTAGAGTTTTCTAATTTTCTTTCAATTTTTTTTTATTTTTTCAATTTTTTCACATTTAGTCTAATTTTTTTCATTTTTTCTATTTCTTTCATTTTTTCGATTTTTATTTTTTTCAAATTTTTTTTCACATTTTTTCTGTTTTTCAATTTTTTCAATTTTTTTTCGAAGCGGGAAGATATGCCCTGGGGCGGGAGATATGGCGGGAGATATGGAGGTTGAGGATATGGAAACCTCAAAATCAGGATACGGGATATATATATTACACACTTATCTCCTTAAAAATCTACTTGGCATAGGATTAAGTTCAATATATCAACCAATTCACAAGATATTTTGATTTTTGAACTATTCATGATGTAATATATCATAGTGACATTTTATTGTTTGTTTCTAGGTTTCTTTGACGATGTATCTAGTCTTAGTTGGACAGGTTGGGCAACGTGTCACGTAATTGATTGCAACGTGCCAGTGCCAGTAACAAGAGGGGAACAAACCTCACCAGCGCTATCATCAATACAAACATTTACGACAGAAGCAACAACTGAGTTTACGACTGAAGAAATGACAACAAAAACAACAGCTGAGGCAACAACAGCAGCGACTACTATAGCAACTACAGAAACATCAACAATAAAAGCAACAATTGAAGTAACAACAGACGAAATAACAATAAAAGCAACAACAGTAGTTACGACTGAAATACTAGAAGTAATGACAGAAACAACAACAACAACTATAGCAGCAGAAGCAAACACTATTGCAGAAATAGAAGAGATTTATGTCCCCGCAAAGCGTATTGAACACGAGCCAGAGGAGGCTCCTCATGCCGCGGCTGTAGGAATACCACCAGTGTTGACCATGTTTATATTTCTGTCACTCGTCATTGCGTCTGATCTTCGAAAAATATACCTTGATATTAAAATGGGGGTTAATAATATTCTAAGCCGTGTTCGAAATAGCTATACAGTACCTGCTCAGTAGTCCCCTTGCTTGCCGCAATTCTTCCCGCTTTCCGCTCACCACTTCGCATTTCTCTTCTGCCTGAGTGGCAAGGAAAATATATTATACTCTTCAAGCATGGATATAGTTGTATCATACAGGGTTGTCAAAATATGGAAATACTTCATTTTCCTCATATCTTTGTCATTTTAGTAAAGTTCTCTCTGATATCTGACACATTTGTACATTATTCAATTTCCTACCAGCCTACCATATTTTATAACCGACAGTTACAATGTTACAGCAATTTACACAACATGAACATGTGTGGCCACCATTGCTTCATAGGCAAACCTGCACAAGCTGTCAATGACCCAATTGCATTTCTCAGCAGAAATGTCCTGAATGACAAGAATGATCTTCCTTTTGACATCTGCAATTGCCCTGAGGTCAAGTTCAGAAGTCAAGTCGTGACGTTTTGGATGACATGTACATGTTTGCAAAAAATGAAATAATGGCCACTGGAGCATGCTCTTTAAAGCTATGTAACATTGTGACTATCAGCCTGAGGGTTCTGAAATATGGTAGGCTACTTAAGAATTGAATGATGTAGAAAATTGCTAAATATCATGGAGTAAATTCTAAAAAAACAAAAATTCGGAAAATAGTGTCACGTTTCCATTTTTTGACCACACTGTACATTGTTACATAATTACATTACGTGTGGCCGTGTGATTCGTATAGACTTTTACTGATATGTGCAAAAAAAAACAATTTCATATTACATATTACACAATCGTACAACAAATCCTCTGTGACGGGTTGGTTGAGTGATTATACCTGGTATTATAGGGTACAATGCGTTGTTTGGTTATTATTGACATATTCCTACGTCTTTCCTTACATGGATATAAAAAATAATTATGACTATATATACACAGGTGCCAAAGAGAGTTGTGTACAGTAACTAACAATAATCGTACGGTATTTATAATTGTATTTTTATATATTCAGTCCAAAAAATTGGACATTTTTTAGTCGAATGCAAAGCACGAAATGCTCGTAAGTGCCCACATAATGTATATAGATTTTTAAACTCGTGTGTTTATTTCCTGTACTTTTTATAGGTGTAATCTACAATTTGAATATTATATTCCAACAAAAAAACGAGAATGAATAATTAATTGGTAAAGATGGCTTATCGTACCTGCTTGCCAAAACGTGCTCCTTTTCAACACGCTGATTTTACAGTAGTCTGTACTGCAAACAAGTGAAATAATGAGAAAGTTATGCTATTATTACGTAACACGCACGGATAACATATATCATTAAAATGTCAAACATAAATAGTGTAAAAATTATCGCTGTTATCTGCTAAATACGGATTCAAATATTCAAATAAAAAACTAGCTTGATTGTATCTCCATTCATCCCAGAAACGATCTCAAACCTGTGTAACATTAAAATTACAATAGGCTTATTTTCAAATATATTTGTATCGATGAGAATACTCAATGTATGTCACATTTCAACGAATTTAAAATCTCCTACCAATATGACGGCGAAGTATTGCAGACTCATTTTGATGTTTTTAGAATATGATATCATGTACATTCCGATACGAGATTAATACTTATATTATATACTAATGTACTAATTATTGTGTTATGTTATGTTTCTTTACTTCGTGAAATAAAAGGAATACAGTTTCAATATCATATCTTTGAATATATTATCACCAATAAGATAATTGGTCATGAGAGAAAGGCGTCCGTCGGACATGGATTGGGTACAGAGCATGCCAGCCAATCGTTGCAAATGCGACGTTTGGAAGTCGCCATCTATTTGTATTTATGCCTGTAGCTGGGGGTCCTTACTTGTCTGGTGCTAAAAGCAGCAACCAGGAAAGCATCAACTGGCAATAAATATATTTAACCAACCTGACCTAAGCCACTGACTTTTTGGAGTTCATAATTTTCCTGGATGCTGATAAAGTCCTCAAACAAAGTTATACAGGGCCACTGGCTCCGGGCACAAATGCCAGAGATGATGGCGAACACGTCTACTTAATTAACACTGCATTGGCAATGGTCGTCGTTCTCTTGCAAATCTTACCAAGATACAGGCATGGCAAGAGGCACAAGAGAGAAAGTACTAAAATAAGGATATAGCGATCAGAAAGTTACACCAGAGATCCCACTATGCGAACAGTTGACCATTTTCTTTGTCCAATTCCTTGCAGTAATTGGGATGTTTTTCAAAACAATTATATGACTGGGTGAACCGTTTTTGTTGAAAGAATTGTTAATTGTATTTTCCTGAAAGGATAGGTATCGATATGGTGAACTGAATTCAACAATGTTTTTCCCTTAAACCAATTATTGAAAACATTCTGTAAAAACACAGTTCTTTATGTAATGTTGACTGAGTGACAACAACTTAATGCTAAAATTATTTATACACAGGATAGTCCAAAAAATGGGACACTCGTATTTCGAAAATAGATATTGATTTTCTTGATGAAAACATGTCATATTATATATCGGTAGATATGGCATTTACTCATCTTTAATTTGGTATATCATAAGTTCAAATTTATTGTAATGTCTGTCAACCAGCGTTCATAATATAAATGACGTCATTTCTTTTCAAAACGGGTTTTCCAAAATTAGCAAAAACAAGCTTTATGTCAACTTTATCTACATTATACAATTGTTGACCTCTCCAGAAGTCAACCAGCAAAATTGTATACCGAGACTGTAAACCGAGAAACTACTGTTGACAGGGACCGAAGAGACCGTTCGAATTGAACATGAAGCAACCGAATCCCCACATGCGTTGATTATAGGAATACCACCATTGATCCTTATGTTAATATTCCTAGGATCTGCAGTTGGGTCTGATATTGGTAAATTAGTCACCGATGTCAAATGTGGATTGAAGAATATCATTAGCTATGCAAAGTACAGTAAACACAACAAACAGAGGAAAAAACAATACCAGTATTACTGAAATAAATGCAAAAAATCTCCAGAAGAGGGCCTCGTACGTCAAACGAATTAGAATCACTACTTTGAAACAAACTTAATTTTCAACAAAAGTTCTCCATATATAATAGCATGTGATGCCTCAAAGACATTAAAAATACCATACTATTTATTTGGAAACAAGGTCAGTACGGAGAACTTGTAGATTATTTTAGAAATAAAGATTGGTCAATTTGAAGCAAGTTGAATAATACCTTGTTTGACCCTGACAAGGTTATTGAAGGTGAAATCTCAAATCTAAAGTCAGATTTGAACCTCCGAGAACTTGTAGATAATTAAAAAAAATTAATCAATTTGAAGCAAGTTGAAAAGAGAATTTTTGAGAAGGTCAAATATTTATCTATAGTTAAATTTGAACTTTTGAAAACTTCTAGATGATTTTGAAAAATATATTGGTCAATTTGAAACAAGTTGAAATATACCTTTTTGACGCTTTTTGACCTTGAGAAGGTCAATGAAGGTCGAATCTCAAATTTAAAGTCAGATTTGAACTTCTGATAACTTGTAGATGATTTGAAAAAAGAATTGGTCAATTTGAAGGAAGTTGAAAAAAGGTCTTTTGGACCTTGAAAAGGTCACCGAATTTCAAATCGTGAAGGTCGAATAGAATGAATATCGTTCAAGATCGCACGAGCCTCTTATCCCCCACACACAGCCTGGCTATGGCCCTGGGCAATATAAAGAAAGACTTCCGACAAAAATGTGCGTGCGTGTTATTTGGGAAAAGAAATTACCCCAGTAACTAAAATCATGATGGTCATTTCGAAAAAGCTCCTTAAGATTAGACGTAATCAAAAACTTCGAAAACTAAATTTAGTCTCCCGTTTAAAAAGCCATATTCTTCACTAAATTAGTTAGATTCTAGTCGTTTACTCTGTAACATATTTCACCTACTAACGGGAATGCGCATGCGTTTCTTTACGAGAATTAAAACTTTACCCTTAGTCTACTTATCGTCTAGCTTAGACACATTTTATTTTGCTCGTACAGTACTAGGTTTTTATTTTATTAAGCAAAAGGTAACGGTTAAAAATAGAAAATGGAATTTCATTGCTTCGCAAAAAACGTTGTAGAAACGAACGTTTGATAATACAATACAGTATTTCAGGATGTCAAAATCCGCCCCATTCTAAAAAAATGTGTCGAAATTCCATTTAATGATCACTTACACAATGTGAAAGTTAGAAACTTCTAAAAAGCTCCCCGTAGTGGCAACAAAGGAAGAACGTTATGTTCGGGCAAAGCGAACTGAACACGAACCAACCGAATCCCCACATGCGTTGATTATAGGAATACCACCATTGATCCTTATGTTAATATTCCTAGGATCTGCAGTTGGGTCTGATATTGGTAAATTAATCACCGATATCAAATGTGGATTGAAGAATATCATTAGCTATGCAAAGTACAGTAAAGACAACAAACAGAGGAAAAAACAATACCAGTATTACTGAAATAAATGCAAAAAATCTCCAGAAGAGGGCCTCGTACGTCAAACGAATTAGAATCACTACTTTGAAACAAACTTAATTTTCAACAATAGTTCTCCATATATAATAGCATGTGATGCCTCAAAGACATTAAAAATACCATACTATTTATTTGGAAACAAGGTCAGTACGGAGAACTTGTAGATTATTTTAGAAATAAAGATTGGTCAATTTGAAGCAAGTTGAATAATACCTTGTTTGACCCTGACAAGGTTATTGAAGGTGAAATCTCAAATCTAAAGTCAGATTTGAACCTCCGAGAACTTGTAGATAATTAAAAAAAATTAATCAATTTGAAGCAAGTTGAAAAAAGAATTTTTGAGAAGGTCAAATATTTATCTATAGTTAAATTTGAACTTTTGAAAACTTCTAGATGATTTTGAAAAATATATTGGTCAATTTGAAACAAGTTGAAATATACCTTTTTGACGCTTTTTGACCTTGAGAAGGTCAATGAAGGTCGAATCTCAAATTTAAAGTCAGATTTGAACTTCTGATAACTTGTAGATGATTTGAAAAAAGAATTGGTCAATTTGAAGGAAGTTGAAAAAAGGTCTTTTGGACCTTGAAAAGGTCACCGAATTTCAAATCGTGAAGGTCGAATAGAATGAATATCGTTCAAGATCGCACGAGCCTCTTATCCCCCACACACAGCCTGGCTATGGCCCTGGGCAATATAAAGAAAGACTTCCGACAAAAATGTGCGTGCGTGTTATTTGGGAAAAGA